CTGAACTGGGAATTCCCAGCATGTGACCAGGTGACCTGTGACCTGCAGGCAGTGGTATGACGTCATTATCCAATATGTCAGCCTCCATGGCGAGGCAAGTCGGCATGAGCGACGACAAGGGAAATTCTCAAAATCTACCTCACGCAGACAGAAAATTTTACAATATACCTATCCAACAAATAAACAATGGACAAAAGAAGAGGGGAGTAAGACAAAACGTAGATTCTGCGAAACTGTTTAGATATATAGAGGGAAATGTGATCGGAAACGACAAGATTTTCTCAGGACCATATGGGAATAGACAAGGTACGTTTTGAAAACCCTACCTTTTCTCTCTGATCCAAAAATTATTCATTTTCATTGATCTCTTTTGGGTTTCATTGCTCTTGGTTTCATTAGTAATATCTTTTGATCATAAAGAACAGTGAGGATTTCAACAGTGATGTTGTTATAACGGAACATGGTTAAAAGCAAATTGTGTGACCAATGAACAGACAGGGACTAAATTAAATTCAATTCATTTTTTTTTATTTCAGTTGTTTACTGTGACTACACAGCATCCGGCAGGTGCGTACTTATGTCTTCACTCTGCTGAAGTTGAGTGAATTATTTCTTGCATTTTTAAAAATTTCCTCTTTTTTTTTTTTTTTTTTTTTGAAAATACAATTTTGTGCAAGTATGGATATTATCATTCTTGAAAGACAAAACTTAAAACATAAGCAGAAGTGATGTTATCTATAGAAGACATGAAGATTTGGATGACAAAAGCACATGTGCTGTCCCATTATAATATCATAATAATTGGTGAAATATACAAACAAGATGTATTGCATATTACATGCACCAATTGAATATGGTATCTGTGATGTTATTTGTTTATAAAGATTTTATTTAATAGTTGTGTATTTGCCATTGTTTTTTTTTGAGGTCCCTGGGTTTTATTGAGGACTATATAAAAGAGCAGGTGCTCCCAGACTATGGAAATACACACACTACCACTACAGTAACCTCTCTACAGTCAACTCTCTTCAGACATGAAGCTAGGTACAGTACAGCTATTGTCTGTAGATATGGACTGTAAAATGTATATTTTCTATGACATCAAGGTCTGTTTTACAAAGAGGCTGTTTGCTGTGAGCAGTTGGAATATCTCGCAATTAAAAAGGACCACGTCTAAATGTGTCTGATAGCTTGAAAAGATTACATATAGCCAAAGGTTTATAATTTTTAAGGCAACTTGCTCATTTTAATATATTGCATATTTTAATTTTTCTAGAGATATCATCAGGAATTCTGTAAATGCCAGTGAACATGATGCAGTGATATTTGCAGGCAGTGGCTGTACTGCAGCTGTACATAAACTGATGCATGCTCTTCATCTAACTGAACCACCGGTGAGTAGGGTCACAGGGGCTGTTTTAAATGCAAATGAACTTTATCTCAGAAATTGATCTTAGTTTAAAAACCTTATCTTTTTATTCTATTTTGGCCAAAATAAATCTGTTGTAGTCTAATTGAATAATAACCAAAAGGAATAGCTATTGCTCAGACTAATTCCTTATTTATAATTATTGGACTACAAAGGATTAATCCAAAACTAAAGTGGACTAAATTTTTGCACAGATGAAGTTATATTGTGAAACTGCCCCCCCCCCCTCCCTGTGTATGCAGGCCAGTAATTATAGCATTGTTCAAAGGAGATGGGCAAACCACCCCTATTAAAGGAGTACAGTATCTACCAATTCTCTTCTTCTGCTTTTAGAAAGAATTAGTTTTTTGTGGTGTCTCAGAATGCTTAAGTTGTGTAGCTGACTACATACTGTTGACTTTGCAGTATTGGTCTAAAAGTTATTTGTGAAAAGATTATCAAAATGTGTTGATGGCAACCCTAAATGAGAAATTGTTGACAAGGAGTGTAAACTGTTTTCAAGCCTATCAAGTGTTGATTTGCTCTTGGGGCTGAGGTACGTAAATGACCATATAAAACAAGAAAGCATCATGAGTCTTTGCTTAAACTGATATTTCATCACTGTGACAGTCATCTTGTGACAAAAACCACAGTTTGTGCTAGTCATTTGCCAATGCTGAAATATGATGATAATTATTAATCAAGAGAACAATTTTTACTTTTTCTTTAAAAGAACTGAAATATACAAAAGCAAAAATTTGCTTCCAGGTGGTTTTTGTAGGGCCATATGAGCATCACTCCAATCTACTTCCATGGAGAGAGAAAGGGGCTCAGGTAAGGTTTTCTGAAAGTCTTGTATTTACCTTGGGTTGACCTAATCAACTTAAATTTTGGCAAGTTGCAGAATATAACATTGTATTTTTTTCAACAAAACATGGAATATTTTACTGTTTTTGACCATATATTCAGTTTTTTCATTCAATAGAATTACACAGATATTTAGATAAAGAAATAATCCAAGAGGGAGTTCAGTTTGATAACACTTACATAAGTGTACATGTGTGTATACCATACAAGAGTGTGCACGTCATGCTCACATACATATTTGGTGAAAATTATATTTTTTCCCATTTTGAATTATGCCAGTCACTTAACTACATGACAAGATAACTTTCTGTCCTTAGTACAAAATTTTAATGAGCCAAATTATGAACTTTTTTCTGCTTTCTATTTTTTAAAAGTAAGTTGGCACTTTTTAGTAGGTTGACTCTGTTATAGTCTCACATTAGCTAGCTCAGAAAGTTTTTAAAAATGATGATTTTTTTTTTCAAAGGTGATAAGAATACCTGAAACTGATACAGGAGAGGTAGACCTGCAAAACCTTGAGCAGGAACTTCAGGTAAGTAAAGGAGAGAAATGTGAATATATATTACAAAAATTACAATATTTCAATTAAAAAATGATGGCTTAATGGACTAATATTTGATGTGAAATCTTGATCTTAAAAAAACCACAGACATATATCTTGATACAGGGGCGGATTAAGGCTGTCTTCTGGGTCTTCCGGAAGACGGTCAGATTTTCAAGTTTACATTGACAGGTATCTAATTTTTTCTGTCGGAAGACGGTCAAAAATAGAGGATGGATCAACAGAGATAATTGGGAAGACTCTCAGAAAATATCTCTAGATCCGCCCCTGTGATAGGTTTATCATTTTGCATAATCATTTGATCATTTAATTTCAAGTCTTGGCAGAACAGTGGCAGACAGCTGATTGGTTGTTTCTCTGCTGCTTCAAACGTAACGGGCATCATATCTGATGTTGACATAATAAGCGTCATCTTGCACAGATATGGCGCTTTAGTGTTCTGGGACTACGCCAGCGCAGGGCCTTATATGAAGATAGACATGAACCCTGTCATCACAGAGTAAGGTTTTTTGCATTTCGATGAAGAAAAATATCTACATGTTTTTTTTTTCTTTTTCTGTGTTACAGTGTCTGTCAGTGAATGATTACTAAGACCTTCACTATTTCTGATATGTCATTTTTCTCACATGGTTCCTTTCAGCTATAAACTTAGCATGATTATGATAGGCATATAGTCTTGGAAATCACCTTATGACATGCATACATTTTACGTTTGAAACAAGGCTTTGTTATTGATACATACATTTTTGTATAATAAAAATAATTAACATTCTGTCATTGACACACACACTTTAATCTTAAGGAAATTAACATTCCATTTTAGTTAAAAATGCTTTTAAATATAACAGTTACTTCAAATTAGGAATTGACAGAAATGATAAAGTTACAGTTCTAGTTATAAATGCATTATTACTTACAGTGACTCCCAGGGTCTTGCATACAAGGATGCTGTGTTCATCTCTCCTCACAAATTTGTTGGAGGAGTGCAGACACCAGGTAATAAAGCACTTCATCCTCTTATCTCCCCCCAACCATCATCTTGCCCTCTCTGATAAATAATAAAGTTGAAAAGGTTTGATGAGAAAGTCACGACGAAGTCTAACCTCAGACTGTTATGCGAAGAAAAAACACTATAACAGTTGAACTCAAACGATTTTCAAAACAAGTTGGTTCTGTGGATTAAATCTTTGCTCTTATAATTTTAGGTCTCTTGCCATGTACTTATTTTAATGACTAATAACACAGGTAACTTTATTATGTTAGTTCTTTTTGTGTTTTATATTTGGAACCCTTTGTAAACTTGGACTGGCTGTACAGAGACGATATTTTTATTTCCAGGTATATTGGTGGCCAAGAAGAAACTTTTCAAGAACCCAGTTCCCTCAGTTTGTGGTGGTGGATCTGTCTTCTTTGTGAGTGATAATTAGTTAATAATTAGTAGATGATAATTAGCTGATAATGATAATTAGACAATATGAAAAAGAAGATAATAGTCTAGAGTGGATATTTAAAAATCCAAAAGCGAACTTTTTTTTTTTGGACACTTAAAAAAATCAGGAAGACTTTAATTTCAGAGTTAATATGTCTTCATAAGATGCCCTGTTAGCTTAATGTATTTTAAATAAGCTTAAAACAGTCTTTGCACATTTGGCCAGTAAGGCCAAATATAATTTATTTTGAAGCAGCTTTGGCTTGAAAATGAAGGAGTTAAATAATGAAAATATTTTTAATCTGTGTTTATCTGTGTATAAAATATATTTTGAAGAACTTCTGTTTATTCTTTTATCATCAGGTTCGGAGGGAAGCTCACAGATATCTGCAAGAGGCTGAGATGCGGGAAGAGGGAGGAACGCCACCTATTGTTGAGTCAATCAGAGCTGGACTTGTATTCCAGCTGAAAGATGCCGTCACTTCTGAGGCCATCATGCAACGAGAACACCAGCTCTGCAGGTACTTAAAACTACTTCATATTTGATTATGTTCTAAATAAAAGATTCAAGATTATTATCTCTGCCAAGTAGGTTATGTTTTTGCCTTTGTTGGTTCTTTACTAAACAGCCTAATTTTAAAAGTTGTGGATGGATTTTTATAGTTTATTGGGGATAGTTCAGTAATGGTAATGGTAACTAACAAACAGTTGGACTTTGCTGGTGATCCGTCAATCAATCGAATGATCATGAGAATTGACTTGCCTTGGCAAAGTGTGCACTCCCTGGTGGCTTTTATGGCTATATGATACTTGTTGATAAGACAAAAACTTAAATTTATTTAATGAGTCATGTATTATTACTCCCTAAAGGTATTTTCATATGTTATTAGAAGAATTACTATTTTGTTTTTATTCATTCCAGGAGGGCATTTGAATATTGGAAAGACACCCCAAATTTGATCATTTTAGGCAGTCATACTGCACCGCGTCTGCCCATCTTCTCTATTCTAATCAAGCACTCAGGGATAGGATTATTTCTGCATCATAACTATGTGTGTGCTGTGCTCAATGACGTGTTTGGTATCCAGACTAGGGGAGGATGTGCCTGTGCCGGTCCTTATGCACAGGTAATAATTTAAGGAAGGGAGGAAGGAGTGGATTCTGATGTGTGTGCGTGCATGCATGTATTCGTGCATGTTCCAAGAAGGGACTTATGTATAATGCATAGGTTAATATATGAATTTAAATAGATTGATAAAGTCAGTAAACTACATCTTATAAAATGTAAAGGTATTAAAATGTTCAACTTTATGGTGTTACATATACACATTGTTTATTATATAATAATATTCAGATATTTTTATAATTACTTTATCAGGATCTGCTTGGAATTAGTGAAGATTTGGCCACAAAAATTGAAGATATCCTAGTAGAGGATAGGTAAGTATCACTTTTGAAGGAAATGCAGACATTTAGTGTCAGTTTTTGGAACTTAGTTATGATGTACACAAAAAATAAAGAAAGACGTGAAATCCTGTTTAAACTAGTTGCAAATTTTCTTTTTAGTCAAGCCAACAAAATTTTAACTAATGGCAAATGATGATGTTGTATGTTTTCTTTAACTTAGGTCAGTTTTCATTCGGATCTGGTGAGAAATTTGTATGATGTAATGAGTTTATGGCAGGCACATCACATGGCCTCTTTAGGAGGTTAAGAAGGTTTTCATGCATGGTAAAATATTTGCATTGATTAAATAAGACATTAAATTGGTATTTATCGTCTTTGGTATACTCTTTCAGGAGGCTGGACAGAGTCCATTTGAGACGATATCGGGAATATTCTGAGAGAGAAATTTTAAGGTTTGATGGTATTCTCTTAAAATATAGAACCTGTTATTAAGATATACAGAATTCATCTGTTTTGCAAAAACTGACAGTATGGGATTCACCGTCTCATCTAAATGAATGAATGGAAAGGTCATGTGAAGGCCCTCCACTTATGTTCTAGTACTTGGAACATGTATGCATTTTTGATATTTAAGCATTTTGAATAATTCCTATATATCTTTTAATATTTTGTTGTATTTGTATTATGAATATGAAACGTTTTGGATGCAAATTTATTATGATTTCTTTTATTATACATTTTTTCCAAATAATTTGCCTTTCAAACTGTTTCAGACCTGGGTTTTCTCGTATTAATCTACCCTATTTCATGAATGATGAGTGTGTGGAGTTTGTGCTAGATGCAGTGAAGATGGTAGCTGAACATGGCTGGAAACTTTTACCACAGGTATTACCTGATACTTCCTGTATAATTATCTTATTTTGACATGGTTATACAAGGCAAATAGATTTAACGGACTGAGAAGATATAGGTGGTTAGAACAAACATTCTCTGCATTTTCTTGGTGTTGAAAATTTTTGTTTTCAGGCATTGTTCTCATGTTTTAACTTTTAGTACTTGCAATAAGTACATCATACTGTTCTTAAACATGTTAGTAAAATATTAGAATTTTTATATACTGTTCTGATGGCAGTTTTGTATTATGCTAAAATAATTGGGAATGGTAACATTTTAGTTTTCTTTATTTTAGTCAATTGCGTCCAAGTTGACATTCTTTTTTTAAGTGACTATTGATTTGTATCACTAAAGGGACATGGGATAATTTATGTTTTTATTTATTTTAGTACACATTTAACCCAGAAACTGGAGAGTGGAGGCACAAACAACATCAGGTATATATATATATATATATATATATAGGAAAAAACATTTGGAGCTTTGATAGAATTTAGGACCATTGAAAAATGAGAGCTAGAATAATTCATAAATTTTTCAACATTTTGAGATGCGTTCCACCTTTTTGGTTTGTGTTTAGGTAAGACCCTTAAGTGCAGATAATGCACACTTTATAAATTTTACTAGTACATATTTGATAGATATACATTAAATGATTTTGAAGTCAGTTGAAGGATAGGGGTAACCGAATGATCTTTCAGGTTTTCAAAGACAGAAAATGGCTTGGTTACATCTCCTATGAAACTGGCAAAATGGCGTACAGAGAACCTCAGTTTCAGAGCAAAGGTCCATTGCCATCAGATTTACAGGTAAGCATTGTGTAGATGTTAAAATTTTTGTTAACTTCATAGAAGGGAGCTGGGGGAGGTTGAACTGTGTAAGGAGAAAATGTGGGTTAATTCCTTTAAGAGGGGCCTTTGTTTCAGAGAAGATTTCAGAGTAAAAGTTGGTCTTAACTGATATTTAATCTTCATCAATTAAGGATAAGTCTAAATTAATTCATTATTTATTAACTATGGTCTAAAATGGCAAGAAATCTTTTAATTATATTACAGGCACAATATTTCATTTACTACAGTTTTATCTTGGGTCAAACTCAACAAAACTTTTTATTTTTAGTGTACAGACCAATATTACTCTTCGACTAAAATTCTTTTGAGAAACCAACATATTGGGAAAAAAATGTGGTTTTGGCTAATTAAAGGGCACCTAAATCCATGCAACCATCCAACCACTGCAGAATACAACATTTTATTACTAAACATTGAAAATAATTTATTTTTCTAAAAGGAGGGTTTATATGATACATGCCATTCTGTTTTAATTTTTATTATGCAGGATTGCCTCATGCAAGCAGAAAATATATTCGATAATGCTGGCAAGGTTAGAATAAATCTTGCAGACCAGACATTGATGTTTGATAAGCAGACGTCATCCATAAGATGGTTTGTGCTACCCAGTGAGATTCTGATTAAAAGTGACACACCTATATCTCCTCCATTTGTGCCAAAGAATTACTCTGAATATGTTGTTAATTTGATTAACAAGCAAAGTGATGACTCTCTGTTAAAGATCTTAAAAACTGGAAGTGAAAACGGTGCTGATGGGAAATTGAAAAAGACTGAAAATGGTTTCATTGCAGCTGATGTTGTAGAATGTGAGAACTTCCGTGTTGATGCTTGCTGTGAATATGAAAATGAATCAAAGTCAAGCTCGGAAAATGGCAGCAGTTTCTCTGAGGGCATGGCCGTTTTTCTAAACACTGGATTTGTTGAAAGTTGCCCATCAGGTGCAACAGCTGATATGGATCAGAAAAACAGTCATAAAACTTCTAAGCAGACAACATTAAATTTTGAAGTTTGTGCCAATGACTCATCCTCTTTCAATAAGCTATCAAAAAATAGGACATCAAGTTGCCTCCATGAATCTGAAGAGGCTAATAAGGAAGTGACTGGTGTCATGAAAAGCAGTACTCCTCATTTGTCTCATGCTGCACCAAGTGTAGGTGGAGCCAGTGTGGATGGTAATGACACATCATCTTGGTCAACTGCTCAGAAATCTCCACCAGAGGGTGGCAGTGTTACTGAGAGTTCTAAAATGAGCCAGTCAAACGAGGACAAAAACATGGACAAAGCAGACAACACTTTGCTTCAGTTGAAAGAATTAAATGGGGATGGTGCAATTGTTGCTAAAGAAACATTTGTGGTGTCAAAAGAAATCCAGAGCACTAGTGTCAAAAGTTCTGGAAAAGACACGAAAGATGACAAATCAGTGAATACTGGCACACAGCAGAGAGCAGCTAAATCTAAGGGGCCATGCTGGCATGCACCACCCAAGAATATCTTCAAACCAACAGTTGAGGTATGTATGATGTGTCAGCATTAGATCATAAATACCTATTTGATTTTTCAGGTAATTCTATGGAGATTCTCTTTGGCATGGAGAATGACCTAATTATAGATTTTCATTGGAGACCCTACTTTTAAGTAGGGTTTTCAATTTTTATTAAAATAATAAAATGGGAAAATGAAATGTAGACTTTCTTGCTTTCTTACTTTCATACTTATCTGTAGGAAAGAGAATATTAAGACTTAATGACCTGTTTTCTAACTCTTTCAGAGCTGAATGTCTGGGAGTCAAAAAGAATTGTGATAATATTTTCATTACTGAATTATTTGAATTTTTTTTATAATTATGTGATAAATTTTTTTGGATCATGATAATTTTAGGCACTGGAGGAGCACAGTATGATCCAGGATGGGGACAGGGTGTTAGTGTGTATATCAGGTGGGAAGGACTCCCTGTCACTGCTACACACTATTAGGCAGTATCAGTTCTATGCTAGGAAAAAGGTGAAAACTGCTTTTCAAGATTTTTTACTGGAACTTTCATAGGACTTTATGTCTTGTGTTATATGTTTTATGTCTTGCAAAAAAAAAAAAAAGAATTTATAATATGTTCTGTTTACTTTATTGGTATTAAGGAAAGTTAAGTTCGGTTCGAGGTTCTTTGTCAGTGGGATTTCACTGGGAATGGAATAAACATAATATAAAGGTTATCTTATAATATGTATGTTAAACCATCGACTAAATTCTTACAGGATAGATAATAACAAGAAAAATGCACAACATTTGCTTCTTCGAAGAAGTGACTGTTTTATTAATGAAATTAGTTCAAATCCAGTTATTACTTTTACACCTTTTCTGTTTTCCATGTTCCAGGGCATATCCTTTGAGTTTAGTGCCATGACAGTGGATCCACAGACCCCCTCCTATGACCCAAGTCCACTGAAAGGCTATCTGGCCAGTCTAGGGGTGCCCTATTACTATGAGGAACAATGTAATTATGGCAGGCTTTCATCATATTTTTTCATTTTTTTGTGACAAAGAGATATATATGTAAGCTGATGTGACTAAATTATATATGTCCTCGTAACAGGTGTGTGTGTGTGTGTGTGTGTGTGTGTGTGTGTGTGTGTGTGTGAAGATAACAACCATTCACACATTATTGTGAGGTCTTGGGCATGTTGATATCAGGATGTCTGTAATCTAAAAAAAACTAGCTTTTTATGGTAATGGTTGAAACTTAAGGTATAGTTACAGCTTTAAGACTTCAGAATGTTAAAAATTTTATAATTTGTCTGTGAATGTTAAAGTAATATCTTCTACATTTCTCATGTTTTAAGGTATACTGGACACAGCCATGAACCTCCCATATGAGTGTGCATCTATCTGTAGTTTTTGCAGTCGCATGAAGCGCGGACGCATTTATCACTGTGCGAGGAGAGAGGGGTACAATGTACTTGCTTTAGGTCAGCATTTGGATGATCTGGCAGAAAGGTAAGATATAGAAATATGGAACTAGTGTTTGCACCTGTTTGCATGTGTGCTTGTGTGCACTTCATATGACATCTGAAAGACCAAGTTGTACTTAGCATGATGGTAACATAATTCAGAGTTTAAACTTAGTCATGAAAATTGTTTTGGCGTTACTGTAATAGATAGCAGGACCACAATGTTTAAGGACAAAAACTGGATATCTGGATTTGTGATTTGTGATATACAGTACTATTCAGTGTTTGTCCACTTTTTGTACCTTATCAGTTTTGTAATGATTTTTGTTTAAAACTTTCAGTTTTCTGATGTCCATTTTCCACAATGGTGTGCTGAGGACCATGAAAGCTAACTACACTGTACAGTAAGTAGAATGATGATCAGTAATTGAAGGAAAATGTAAAATAAAACTGTAGACCACACAGCAGTCTCTGAAGGACACCGTAGCAACAAATAATACAATAATAATAAATACAAGCAAAATCATTTTCACTGGAGATACTGAATTATGAACATGCATGCACACAGTGCAAATGCATGGACACATGCAAGAACACTCGGACTTAGATATGGAAAATATGAATCAATCTATGTGATTTTTCACAAAATTGACATGCCTTGGTATAAATAAATATCTGCTATATTTTTTTTATGAATCACTTTCTAGAAAATCATTTATTTACAGAGAAAAGGATCTCAGGGTTATCAGACCATTTGTATATGTCCGTGAAAAAGATCTAAGAGATTTTGCTGAACGCCAAAAGTTACCTGTGATTCCAGAAAATTGCCCTGCATGCTTTGAGGCACCCAAGGTATAATCCTGTAAAGTGCTGCTTAAGAGGCTATTTTATATATTTCATGAAACATCTCTTACTGGTTTTAAGAAAAAATTGTTTTTATCTTTGTATTAGGTTACCATCAAGTCGTGCAAATTTCCATTTATAATCAGAAAATTTTAAAAGCTGTAGGCCCATCAAGACTATATGAAATAAGCATCTGAAAAAATGTCTTCAATTTTAGGAACGCCATAGGACAAAACAACTTCTGGCTGCTCAAGAAATCTTATTTCCACGCCTGTACAACAGCATTATGTCAGCCATTAAACCCCTTATGGCTATAGGAAGGACTGGAGTGAACATGAAGAAAATATTGACACAGTTTAGCGAGATGGATACTGGGGATGGGGAGGATGAAGTTGAAATCTGAACAATTTTATTTAGTAAAATTTCCAGTGCTACAGAGCCTGTTCAGCCTAGCTTCTTTATTTTCAAATTTCTATATGCATGCCCACTTGGCTCGTTTGAATTTCTTCATTGTTTCAGTCAAGTTTATAGCACCATTCAGGCATGTCACCCCCTATATAACCACAAAATCTGCAGGTTGCTAGTTTGTGATTGGTTAACGTTCTTCAAACTTGCTGCTGAATTTCAGGGTCTCATGAGTTTGCATGTGGAGGTTTTGGAAGTGAAGAAGCTCAAACACATGGGGCCCTAAATTAAGGGTACCAGTACAGGAGCTAACTGGGGGCTACCATGCAGGCTGCAGCGTGTTATCCTAGTTTAAACTGAATGATTTTATTTTTATGGCCAATTTTTTTCAAATATTAATGAAACCTGATAAATCACCAGGAGACAGGACTATTTTAATAGCATCATTTCAATGCAGCATTGGATGTTTTAGACAAATAGGACTGATTGAATAATGTATTTTGTGAGATTATAGAGAAATCAGTGATTATATTGAATATTTATTAATAATATTAAAAGTATTAAAATGATACTGTTTGCCTTTTGTTTCCTTAATTTTGGAAGAGGATGGTGAAAGTTGAATTGGCCAGGAAGAAGATGAGAAAAAATTAAAACATTAAATGTAAATAATTCTAATAAAATGTGTTTATTTGAATGGAAAATAGAAACTGAAGAAATAACAATGTTGTTCAATGCACTTATCAATTTTTTACAAAACCTTGATCTATTAATGTTCAACAAGAGACAATACATATCTGATTGCCTTAAACATAAAAAAGCGAGTTCCATTCCAGATAGTAATACCACATCACTGGTAATTAATCTTAGTGAAACTTTGTGATTAAAGACTTAAGGTCAATAACATGAAAATGAAAAATGACAATCTTACAGTGCAACTATAAAGTGGGTATCCATGTAACATGAGGAAAATTCTATGTGCAAATAAAAACAATCCATGAGGTAATGAAGTGAACAAGGAATGCAAGACCCCCCCCCCCCCCAAAAAAAAAAAAAAAAAAGTTCTGATTACAAGAACATGTTAAATCTCTAATCTCATTCATGTCACAAACATGCTGTGTAAATAGGACTTCATCCTGTATAGAAAAGAGCACATATATCTTTGGAAGCTATAATCACCACTGATGATAAATGCAACAATATCAATACACAGTGGACAAAAAGTTACAGAATCAACGTCACGTTATAGATAAATGACCCTGGTGTGTTTTGTAAGCCATTCTGTCCATTGGGGAGTGCACATAGGGGATGTCCAGTCTGTTACTGTGTATAGAGCTCCTGTTCTGATAAATCTTCATCACTGTCACACAGTCGTCTTCACTTGCCCCTAGTTGAAATACTGGTCTTAGCACAGCAGACTCACTTTTGGGAATCTCGCGAATATTAAATACCGAAAACATCTCATCAAGGTTTTGTCTCGAGTCTTTCTTTGTGACTTGAAGTCCCAAATCTTCCTTGGATGCTAATGAAAGCTGTGAGGCTTGTGAAGAAATGTGTGTGCATGATGTGCTTTTGTTCAATGAGGGCTCTTTGGCTTCTGTTGTTGCTGTAATATTACCTGCAAATGAAAAAAGATTACTACATCACAGAAGGTAACATTTGCTGCATTAATCAAACCCATTTGTTCTATCTTCTAAATTATACCCATAAAATACACTTATCTTTATTTACTCTGGGCAACTATTTTTGCTTTAGCCAATGAGTATCAAGCATAAGAGGAAAAAAAATTGGAAAATACTTTTTAAATGATATTCAAGAAAAATATCCATGACCATTACTTAAAAAAAAAATAAATAAATAAGAGTGTTGAAATTTGCCCAGCTATGTATTCAAAGAGTGTTCTTGGTAGTTCTTCATCAATGAAAGATCATCAAGGGGAACTTCTTACTTGTGACCAAGTCTAAAGCTTCCAAGGTAAGAAGGCGGTCCAAGTTATGCTTGGCATCGGCATTTCCTGCATTAGCAGCTTGTTCATACAGCTCAATGGCAGACTTATTGCTCACTGGCAGACCTGGGAAAATTCAAGATTTTTTTTAATTAAAAAAATATATGATATTCATATGAATGTTTCCAAAATACAAACAAAACACCAACAAATACTTAATTTGCAATAAAATAATTGTTGATTCTACAAAAAATAGTTCAAAATAAAATGACCTACCTCCTCTCCCACTTTCAAAGTAAACCCCCAGGTTGTACTGTGCTCCATCATGGCCGCTTTTGGCAGCCTTCCTGTATAATTCAGCCGCCTTGCACTCATTCTGTTCCACACCCCAACCCTGTTCATAGCATACACCCAGGCAAAACTGGCCATCTGGATCCTAGGGAAGAGTAAGCAGGAAGTTAGTTAATTATTCAAAGTTCAAAACATTACTCATTAACCTTAACCAGTATTAAAAAGTGATGGGTCTGTCTTCACCTCTTTTTTTTCTCATAATTATAAATTAATTAATCAACTTATTTTGTAATGTAATTATTAACATTTTTCTTGCCCATTAAAAATTTGAATATCTATTTCCTACCTTTTGCTTTGCAGCTAACTCAAACAAACTAGCTGCTCTTTTCAGGTCCTTGTTTTCCTCTTCTGTGTAAAATGCACCCAATTCTGTCTGGGCCTGTAATAGAAAAAACTATGATTTTATGGTGTTGCTAAAAATTGTTATGTTGGCCTTGCCGACAATCCTCATGCACATCAGATTCTATAAATTTTCAGACTAATTATTCAGATGCAATTATAACACTTGCAATAAATCAATTCAAATACCACCCTCTCCCTGAAAATATGAAAATAAAATAATAATAATTTTAATAATAAAAATACATCAATGAAAAGGATAACAAATTTTTATTGTTGTTGTTGCACTCAAATCTTTCGATAACAAAAGGCAAATTCATACATGAAAATGGGAAATAAAGAAGTCGCCCAAGTTTGAACTTTAAGACTGTTAAGACTTATGACATTTGCAAACCAACCTGTGAAATTCCATGTTCTGCAGCTTTCTCCAACAAAGATAGAGCTTTATTGGTGTTCTGCTCCACGCCATGTCCCTCTAAGTACAGAACAGCCAGGTTATACGCTGCCTTGGCATGACCACCAGATGCCGCCACCTGGTAGTGGTTAAAAGCCTGGAAGTTACAATTAAAATAATTACAAGGTCTTTATCTTTAAGTATTCAGAGGCCTTTCATAGGAAATTTACTTTTTTGTTACCCTGTACCTAAATACTAAGAAATTTGAAATACTGTACAGCATCAATACCCCCCCCCCTCCACCTAATCTTGGACCCCATTCCCATAGATTAGATCAATCTACTTTAGATCGACCTAACTCCCTGGGGGTTCACGCTAAATAGCTGTCAGCCGAGCGGGCACGAAAGTTAATTACCCCCTTACAGCTTGTAGTAGGCCGGACGGAGATTTAAGCCAGATTATCTGACAGTAATCTAGTGAGACTCCCCGCGAGGATAGATCGATCTAAAAGCTCTGGGAATATGCCCTTGGTTTAAATTAATTTCAAAATTCAAACTGCCGCTTTCCCAAAATAGGATCCTTACTTTTTCAATCGATTTTTCCACCCCTTTCCCATGCTCGTAACACACTCCCAAATTGAAGTGTGCGCTGGCATACTCAGCTTCCTGTGCTGCTGTCTGCCAGTGCTTTGTAGCTTCCTCCAGGTTTCCTTCTGAAGCATGCTTCAATGCCAAGATGTTCTCCTCCACTGAGCTATATGTCCTGGATAAACCCTGGAACTCTGCCCAGGCTTCCTCAAGAGATACGGGCTCCGAGTTCGTCTGTCAGTGATACAAGTAAAGAAATATTATTTGAAAGTTTAATTACATGAACTAATCTGCCTGCCTTGTATATATGTTGACCGAGTATGAATTTACACAAAGGAGACCAAAACAGCATTACACAATAAGAAAACAGAAAATAAAATAAAACATCTATTTTTATAAGGCAACACTGAAGTTAATTTAAGGGAAATGTCATTGGAAAATGACAAAATTAATATTTTTTAAATCTTTACAATTATGGCAATGTAAGGATTCAAAGTCCCATAAACCATGTCTACTCTCATTAGCCACACTGAAATAGATTAATTTACCTGTGACTGGTCACTGTCAGCTTGGAAAGGAGAATGTTTGCTTGTGGATGAATCTACAAAGTCAAAATCTTCTGTCAAATCCTTGAATTTCTTGTCAAAAGAGCTGTAAAACTGTGCAAAGTCCACAAATTCTTTGTCCAAACTGCTGGACTGAGTCACTTCTTCGTCTCCTGAACTGCAGGAAGAGGATAAATCTTTGAACTCCCGGAACTCCTTACATGCCTCAGTGAGATACCCAGGTTCTGGGAGGACCTGCTAGGAAAAAAATTCAGGTATTTCAGGATTTTTTTATCATTCAAGAATAACAACATTTCCATGGTGGGGTGATATGTATAATTTGGTGACTCACACAAGTTCAGATAAGATATATTATCATGAACAGGTGCAAATAAATATGACAAATGAAAACCCCTGCAGTATCAGATTTTCTAGTTAGTTTATCGCCTACGCAAAAAATTCTCAGAACACTTCATAAATCAAATATAATAAAAGAAAAACCTCAATAGTTTATTTATCATATATTTTAACAAAAATATATCCTATACTGAAAGAAAATGCACTGCAAAAACAGTAAATCATACCTGCTGATCCTTTTCAGACTTCACACCCGAGACACCGGCTACATTTTTTCTGGCCACCATGTATGCAATGCCCTGTGGCACAGTATTGGCCATCTGATGCCAGGGGCATTTCTTGGTCTTTTTGCCATGTTGAACTTCTTGGCTTCTACATGCCTTGGAAATGTGGAAGCCTAGAGCTAATATTGCACCCTGGATAAAAAGAAAAGGAGAAAAATGACTGACTGCATTTATTATGATACTTGAAACCAAGTTGTGAAAGCAAAAAAGGGAATTGATCTTTAAAATGAAAGTGCATTTTCAGGGTAAGCACAAGTAAGCACTTAAAAAAAATACAAAATTTTATATAAGAAATAATTTTATGTTAACTTTCAGCACTAATACACTTACTTACACCTATTTATATATAAAATCTAATTACAGTTGCAAAGTGTGTGTGTGCTTACCCAACCAACCAACACATTCGGAGCTTTAGGCTGGCTGGCAATGAACTCTGTGTGACTCTGCCATCTTTGCCAGCCTTCTTCTTTCTCAGTACCTTGACCAAGGCAGTTTTCAGACCTATTAAAATGAATAAGATAACTTATATATTTGCAAAACTTTCAACAGGCTCAGTAACAGAAATTCATACAGCATCTAATCTAACAGAGAAAATATACTAGCTTGAGTTTTATATAAAATAATAGCCACATGTTATTTTACTGTTTTATACAAAACTGAGAAATTTAGAAAACTGATCCTTTAATCATAAAAACAACACAAAGGCTAATATCTAATTCCTAGTGACGTTTACAAAATGTTAATGGAAGGTATTATCCACAACTCAGCCAGTACCTCTTATCACTAGTGCTCCGCCTTGCTTTTCTTCTAAAATATCTGTAATACTGTTTGCATGTGTGGCAGTTTCTTCTGACTTTCTGATGCCTTTGTTGTTGATTCTGCTCGCTGCTGGCAGCCCCAGTGAATGGATGCTGCAGGGGCGCAGCGCCTTGTGTTTTGCTTGCACATTCAAACTGGTTGTTTAGAACTATAAGAACACCGAAAGCAAAAGATTTAGAATGAATATCTACAGTAACAAATAACTTCGATGGCTCTCGGATCCAACTGCAAACTTTGGAGAAGGCACGAGGTAAAATTTGTGCTATTGTTGCACGCCGATCACTGTACGGTGTTTCCATAATCGAAGAAAACTAAAGAATGACAATGCATTACTGCTGACTCAGCTCGTACGATGTCAGTAAAATATTCCCATAGACAAAATTCCCCTTTCTGTTTTATCTTTCATGTTGAAAGGGGATTCCCTTGATTCTTCGCTGCTTGTTCTGGCATGTTTCCCAATCACGCTATTTCATTTTATTCGTATTTTATCGGCCTCGGTACTAAAAGACGGACAGAAATTTCACAACTCACCTTTACGAAAACTTTTTAGTGCTTTCCACATGTTGTCAAACGGAAGGTTTCATGTCTTTGATGGGAAACCGTCACATTTTGCTATCTAAGCAGAAGAGCTCGGTTACCCAAGCTCAATCATCTCAGCTCAGTGATAAACGTAACCACGCGCTCTAAGTTTAGACAAAAGGATATCTAAAATATCATATGTTTGGCAACTATTTTGCTCATTTCAATAAAGGTAAATGTTGCTATCACTTGAACCTACTTACTTTGAGTATGTGGTGTATTTGTATTTATAATTTCTTGCTGAATATTTCGATTCATCCTGAGATAAAAGCTATTATTTACGCGCGCTATACTCCATTTATGAAATCATTTCTATTTTTAGAATGTCCTTCCTTCATCCTTTTTGACCTTGAAGGCCTGACGCAATGCACGCATTTGCAATCCACATACAAGCCTCTTTTTCACTGTAGCATTTATGGTTGGAAGCATGTTAACGATTCTCTCTAAAGAAAAGGAGGCATTGTAAGAAGCTAATTCAATCGAATCGACTTCTCTATTCAATTTTAATTAAATATCTGCACATATTAGGGAAATCAACGTTCTCTTTTAACAACACAAAGTACACGTTTAATTTCAATTTCTGTAAAAAAAAAAAAAAAAAAAAAAACAAGTCCACTGAAAATAAATAAGAATGCCCATAGTCCAATACTTTTAAAGATTTTACTATTTTCTCAAAAAATATAAACAAATAAAAGAAAAGAAAAATAAATAAAATAAATAACAAACAAAACCATTTACTTATAAATTTTGTTTATTTGTGCAAAGATTTCACCTCTGCTGCATAGACCTGTGGTATTTCTACAGACATCTCTGTAAAACATGATTATTGTCAATGGTAAGTACAATATTTACATTGCATGTAAATGAGTTATTAAAACCTTTATATGTGTATTTTAGCTAAATAAAATATAACGATACAACCATGTGTCTTATCTAATTAATATGATCATGATCTCATCGTCACTATTTGCTGGACTTCATCTAATCATTCCTTCAAAAAGAAAAAAGTCCATGAAAAAGAACACTTTAAGTATAATAATTGTCAATACAGTGGAGGGTCTATGATATATTACTTGTTCCAAAGGCATCTGTCTGTGCTAACATGGTTTAAAATGCTGCTCACATGTAAAATATGGTTAAGATGGTAATTACAAAGAACGTGATGGACGCTTTTTTTATTTTTGCTATAGTTACAAAAGGAATGTTAAAAGATAAACAATAATGCCAACCTTAAGAAGGATAATTAAAAGAAGAGATCATAAGGTCACAACATTGAACTCACATCAAAATATCTTTGTTTCTGTGATTTCACATTTAACAGAATTTTTTAAATTTCTCAACTGATCTTCTGTATTTATCTTTTTATTTTTTGTTTGTTTGTTTTACAAGTTGGGGTTTACATAAAATATTTACTTTCACAACACGTAAAAAACTTATCAATTGTATACGTGGTAAAAATAAAGTCATTATTTTCCACTTTAGGACATTATATTTACATAAAATAACATCCATTAAAAATATACAATATTAAACACACAAGCAGAAGTATCCAACTGTACAGCTGGACTTGTTTTCCCAGCAACTGCCTACAGCAACGATGCAGACAGTTTTTGGGTTAGACTAAACTAATCTTTAAAAGTAAATTCAACTCTATATATGGCTGAATGTAATTAATAACAATAAACTTAAGGCATCAACACATAACAGGTTATCAGCACTGTTTAAGTGCAAGAAAGAATAAGGCCAGGGTGAATATACAATTTGTATAAAGCTTACAAACCATCTATCTCTTATTCATTTAAGAGCATCTCTTAAATAGGATAATAAAAATAATACCTCCAGAAAAACAATATACAGGCACAACACAAGTATCCAGATGGTAAAAATCTAGGAACCACCTTGAAAATGTGTAAATGTAAATATATGTTTATGACTTGAAGAAACTATCATAGAAATTCCACATACAAGGCAATGATAATGTGCAAGTAAACTCTGTAAAATGACCTTTAAATTTATATATTTGGTTAAATAAAATATAACATTCCACAACCTTTGGGATAAGGTCTTGATATGAGCATTGCTTAGGATGATTTAATACAGTGTTTCATTACAGATGAATAGAAATGACTTACACATTGTTTTTGAACCAATTATAAAAAGGCTGACACAAAGGACATGATGATGATAACATGATATACAGCAATTTGTGGTTCATACATATTCTTCCATGTCCTTCTTAACATCTAAAGGCACCAGTTTCACTTCAGATCTACCCTCACTGTCCGGCAAGGCCGCAATGTCCTGAAACACACCCACTAACTTTTCAAAGCTTGGGCCCCAGTTTAACAAATAATCCCAATTAAATAGACCAGTGGGGCTTTTTGTGGGGCGTGGTAAAGTCTCGTCCTCTGAAACCAGTAACGTACTCAGTGATCCTCTAACTGAGTCCGACCCATCATACGTGAACGTCCTTCCATTTGAATCTTGTGGGCTATCCTCATTTTCATTCTCAGCTTCGCTGAGTTTTGGAAACTGGTCAAACTCCGGCCTGTTTCTCTCATTCTCATACTCAAACTCTGAACAAGTAAAAGAATCATTACTACTGTCATCAGAGGTGGACTCTGGGGGTTCCAGCAGTCCACTATGCTCTAGTGTGTTTATATTATTAGGTCGCCCTCTGCCCTCTGTTGTAGAGGACACAGCGTCTATAGTACTGGTAGGACTGACATGCTGTCTTGCATTGAGTCTCTCTATCTCCTCCACTGTCAGTCCCATGGGGGGTCGACTGGCCACCCCACCAGGTTGCTGCATACGACTGTGTGGACGAGGGGGGATGTTGGCTGGACTCCTGACCACCTCCCCGTGTCCACTGCTCTGGTCAGAGTCCACCCTGACTTCCTGTATGGGGCTGGCCACTCGATTGCCCAGTTGCATGCCCAGTGGGCTGACACGCATGTCTCTGATTGGACTAGTTCTAGATAACTGGTTCATGGGGCTGTGACGAGCCACCATGGGGTTGATAGGACTTTGGCGTAATAATGGATTGTTGACAGTGAGCGGACTCTGGCGCGGCATGGGGGTGCTCTGCATTTTCATTGCATTAGGACTATCCCGTGCCTGCTGCTGCTGCTGCTGGTGCATCATCACACTGGGACTCTGCCTTGGCAAGCTCATGTTTATCTGATTCATGGGACTGTCCCTAGCAGTCCTATTAAGTATATGATTGGGACTATGTCTATGACTGTGTTTATGATATGTGGGTACATGATGATTATTTCTCTGATGGTGGGGACGTTTTCCGTCCCTGTATCTCCTATAATGTGTGATAACATCAATGTCAGAAGGAGCTATACTACTGGCATTTTCAATGTCATAATGTTCAGGAAGAGCCTCCTCCGGTATTCCAAATGCATCTCCATTTTCTATGATCACAGTATCATCATCTTGATGGTTTTGAGAAGGCACTGTGGAAGTCTGCCTCCCAAGAATGTCTGGTGGCTGCAGTCCACCGATATGATCTGAGATTTCTCTTTCCTGGAAAGACTTTGTAGCCAACTCCTCTGCTATGTGGTTACGGATTATTGTTTCCTCTGGGACTTCTCCTGTTTCCGTGTAGCCAGAATCCTGCGTCCTGTTGCTGTCATTTGCCGCTTTGTTAACTATGAATACGCTGTCCCCATTTTGTTTAGTCTGCTCGGCAGAGTGTTGCTTCTTTTGCTGCATCGTGCGTCTTGCTCGGAAAACTATGAAGGTGATCAGTAGACCAAGGATTAACACTGCCAAGAACACAATGACAATGACAACTCCTATACTGATTGGTGAAGGTTCTGGTGTTGCTTTGACAGCGCCACATTGCTCTGAGCAATCGCCACCACTGACACAGGCATTGCAGCCAATAACTCCTGTTGAGCAGCCATTGCTGGTATTGCCTGATACTTGGACATCAAATCTCTCTGTGGCTCCCTGGAATGGTTGTGCTTCCCCATTGAGGAGAAAGTCGGACAAACAGCCAGCAAAACCTGGAAATAATTAGAACAAAAATATTTAAGTTTTTGGAATATCAATACACTTCCACTAATCTTTTAAATCCTTTCTTGGAATCTAAAAATATCACATATCATTTGACTAAATATTCATTGTGTATAGGAATACCTGAACAATATTGCGGGTAATTCAATTTTTTTTTGTTTCTCATACGAAAAAAAGTTGGTTCAACAATGAGTAAAATATATACTTTCACCAAAAAGCAACATACCAGGCTCACTTTTGTCTGGGAATTTTCCACCTAGTTTTAAAGCAGTAACATCAAGTCCCAGGAAATCATGAACAGCAGGGAATTCTCTGTCTACTGGTGACTCGTCATTTAACTTCAACTGGACTTTGTTTCCTAAAAACCAAGGGGTAATGTGATCAACAGTCATCATCACAGGTACACTCTGGCATTTGTGTAGTTACCAATATTTTTCAAGGCAATTTTATAACAGTTTACAAGCATTTGTTGTAAATGGGCCAATACAAACCACTGAAAAAAACATTTGTTATGTCTACTGCAAATTTGCACCAGGTTCAACAACTCTCCTTTTGAAAATGCACTCTTTGAAAAACAATCCAAAATACCTTGTACTGAAAGAGAGATGTTGTGCCACACATTATTATCCATCTTCTTGTCAGATACAGTGACTTTCTCATTTGTTCCTCCCTCCTGGAACTGATACACGAGCTTTCCTTCCTCCACTCCAAGGAGAGTGTATCCACTGGGACTTGTGGATTGAAACAGAGGCCCATCAGCGGAGGTGCCAAATGTGACTGACATGCTGTGTGAACCTGTTCCAACAGCCCTCTTTCTTCTTTTGGTGGCAGCACTGAGCAAGGACTGCCTCCTGTAGCTTTCCTTGGGGATGAATTCCACTTTGGCATTAGGTCCAAATGTGAATGACTTCAACTCTGCAAGTAGAATGTGAATTGTTTCATCTGTCAGATAATAAATACTATTCCTGCAATTGTCCATCATCTTCAAAATTCACAAACTCTACTTGAAAATCACATATTTTTATGATAAACTTATTTTACAAATACATAACACAAATTTTATATTTAATAATAATAAAAAAAGACTTACCCAATTCACATCTATCTCCCATAAACCCAGACCTGCAGGTGCAAGACATTCCAAACCATTCATCTTTACATGTTCCCCCATTCTCACATACATTGGATGTGCATGTGCCAATGTTTTCACGTGGGCATGTATTTGTCACACCAACGCTTGCTCGCAGTTTCTCCTTCCCTGTAAGAAGATTGTAACCATCCGCGACTGCAATGCGCAGGCATCCCACGAAGTCATAAGTCTGCACTTCTCTTCGCTGAAGGAGAAGGTCAAAGTCCCTAACACCTCCCAGGCTGAGGTTACCAGAGGCCACGTCAAGAGTCCTGAAAATAATATGTATTTTTTTTAATAACCATTCATTATATTATTTAACTGAAAAAAGAGATGGCAGATCATTTATTTATTTATTTATTATTTACTTCTTAAAACAGCACATTCAATAATAATATAATTTGTCAACCATTTGTGAATATTTCAAATAATACAGTCTACATCAGCCATGGCACATCAATTTCATTCCAAATTCATTACGCAAGTTTAGATAAATTTGCCTTATGTAGCATTATAACATATGCCTTATGAAGTATTATAACATATCCAAATAACTGATCAATATTATAGCAACCTGTATTTTGGTAAGTTATTTCACTGCACAATTCTATTACTTACTGGAAGCCATCATGGGACCCTGTGGCATAACAATTGCTGTCCCCAATATTACACTGTCTGCAAACTGGGTCACACAGTTGCACTTTCAAAGTACCCGCCTGAAGAATAAGAAAAATATGTTACATTTGTTACATGCTTATCTAAAACTTTGTTCTACATACAGCTGTAGAAATAACTATTTTTTTCAATTTGATGAAAATGTCAACAATAGTCACGAGAATATTAAATTTCCAGGTCAGAAGTTCCAACAAGTAGCCAGTACATAATATTCTTTCATCACACTTTGCAAAAACCTAGTTTGAGTCATAAGCTAAATGAACATTACAATTTCTCCTTCAACATGTATCCCATCTTACCTCTTGAATTCTGCTGACTGTGACCTTGAACCATTTCCCATTGGACACATACTGACCCACCATCAACTTCGTACTGTCCGTCTCACCAAGGTTGAACGAGAACACAACTCTGCCAGCCACAATCTCTAGAGCCAGGAAGTCAGTGGAACCTGGGTTGTACAGCAGCAGGGCATTTTGCTGTAGTGTGGCAAACTCTAGTACAATGTTATTCTGATCTCTCTGCAGTGGTGACTGGAATTCCATGTAGGAGAGGCTGTGGAAACCTCTCCCTGTTAACTCACATCTGAAGGACCCCACAGTGTTCCTGCACTCACTTCCCGGGCATGGGTTAGACAGGCACTCGTTCACGTCATCACCGCAAGTTGGGCCTGTGTATCCTGCGACACACGTGCATGTTGGTGTACCGGCAATGTCCAGACAGGTGCCTCCATGTAAACAGACATTATTCCCACAGCTCTGACCAATGTCCAGTTCACAATTGGTTCCAGTAAAACCAGCTGGACACTGGCAGTGGTGTGTATGCTGCACAGCTGGGGCAGTAAGGATGAAGGACAGACTGGCCATTTGATCATAGGTGGAAAAGACAACAGGGTCATCAGAACAAACACCATTGTTTTGGCATGGGTTACTCTGACAGGGACTCACATTGATTGTGGCAATGATAACACCACTCCCCTGTTGAATACTGTTCCTGTTGGACTGGAGAGTGCTTTCCAGGGTTGCTGCTGTTCTGTACTGCCCAGAGCTCTGCTGAATAGCCAGGAACAAGTCAAGGTTAGGCCCTCTCTGTAGCAAGTTGTGTAGGACTATAGAATCCCCACTGGTCAAATACTGGGCCAGGGTGCTCTCAAATCTGGTTCTAAACGTTCGCAGGAATGTCTCTTGGGTTAAGCCCTGCAGTCTGACCACCAGTGTGTTCTCTAGGGTTGTGTTGTCCACTGTCCTGAATTTGACCAAAGTGGCTGAAGTCACTCCACTGGAACGGCCATCACTTGAGCTTATGTTCAAAGTGAAATCCTTGGGGCTTTGGACCTGGTTTGCTTGAAGCTGGCAGCTGGAACCAGAGAAGCTAAACATTGACCTGTCTCCCTGCAGGATTGAGCAGGTGTAGCTTCCAGAAATATCGGGGTCAGTTGGGGTCACATCTGCCACAAGGCCTCCTGGGAAGTTTCCTTGATAGGCAAACACAGAAACGGTCAGAGGACGTGGAGTTGGAGGGTTGTCATTCAAATCATTCACCAGGACATGCAAAGTTAAAGTGGACGTCTGCTGGGGTGAGCCCCCATCTGTGACCTTGATAAGCAGGTCAAGGTTACTGATCTGCTCGCGGTCTAGCCTTGTCGTTGTCCTGAGTGCCCCATTGCTGCTCTGCAGTTGGAAATAAGAGCTATATTGATTGGGTACAAGGGAGTACGTGTAGGGGCCTTGATTGGGAGGCAGATCTGGATCTGTGGTGTGTGAATCCAGCTGGATCACCACTGGTGCTTGCTGGGGATCCTGTTCTTCTGTGACATAAGCTGTGAGGTTCTGTGGCTGGAAGATGGGGCCGTTGTCATTGACATCATCCAAGCTTATGATGACATTGGTAGAGCCTGTAAAATACAGTAACAAGTGAATTAATTTTATCATGAAATATATATAGTGTTGGCAAATGGAATAAAATATTGAAAAAATGCTGACAACAGCTGCAATAGGTTTTTCAACTCGTTTCTCTTATTAAGAATATTAAGACTCAAAACAAAGAATAATAAATTGAACTAGATTGCTAACATATACAATAGTATCCCTTCACTAATATGTTTTAACTGTACAGTAAATATTTGATTTAACAATTCACACAACTACTATAAACTAACATCCTAGAACCCTGTAGGTTATCCTCAGTACATGTATTTCACAGTGAGAAGGAATGATTAAGTCCTTGGTATTACAAAAGATATAATTACCTGTCTGTGGTGGAGAACCCGTGTCAATGGCCACAACAGTGATGTTATACACAGGCAGAGTCTCCCTGTCAAGTCTGGCTCCAGTAGTCCTCACCCAGCCAGAGACGGGCTCAACACTGAATGCTCCGCCATCGTTGCCACTTTCAATGGAATAGCTAAACTGGCGATCTGATGTCTGGAGGTCGTTGTCGCTGGCTAACACACGTACTACGTTCTGTCCCGCTCCCGCGTCTTCACGCACATTCCCAGTGTATTCAGTCTCTGTGAACAAGGGTGGGTCATTGGCATCTTCCAAGCTGATGTACACCGTGCATGTGTCTGTGTCGTTACCACGCACGCTGCCTGGGTTCTTGGCCATGACTGTTAGGGTTACTGATGACATCACTTCTCGATCTAAAGGGGTCTCAACGATAATAGTCCCTCGCAGACTGTCGATCTTGAAACCTTTCCTGTTGCTGCTGCCCACCAAGAAATAATATACCACCCCTTCTGTGCCCTGGTCGCTATCCAAAGCTGTCACGGCACCAACTTGTTGCCCTGGGCGGGCAGACTCGCTGACAATAAACTCATAACGTCTGCGAGTAAACTTGGGGTAGTCCTCATTTGCTCCAGTGACATGAACATTGAGCACGGCTGTCGATTCAAGGCTGGTTCCTGGATTTGTTGCCCTGACAACCATAGTATATAGTTTCTTCGTCTCGTAGTCCAAGTCAGTTTGAGTTCTGATGACCCCAGTCTCTGCATTAATGGTGAAGCCTGCCCCTCCTTCAAGACGGTACTCCACATCTGCATAGGCATTGGAGTCTGCATCAGTGGCGTGGGCTACGAAGACTGTGGAACCACGCGGTGAATTTTCCAAGATGTAGGTATCGTAGGTCGACTGGTTGAAGACGGGTGGGTTATCATTGATGTCAGTGAGCTGTATTATGAAGGCCGCACTGGACTGCTTGGAAATCAGACCTTTGTCTTTAGCTGTGATGGTCAGGTTTGTGACAGAAGTGGTATCATAGTCCAGAGGTTTGGCTATTGTCACCATCCCCGACGTCTCCCCAATGGCAAACCACCCTTGAGGATCACCACCAGTGATATGGTACTCCACCTGCCCGTTAATCCCCTGGTCATCATCTTGGGCAGACAATGATGCCACAACATTACCCACACGGCGATTCTCAGGTATGGTGGCCCGAAACGTGGTGCTGTTGAATCGTGGCGTGTTCCTGTTGACGTCGGTGACACTAAAGTGGACTGTGACATCTGCACTCTGGGGTGGAGTGCCTTTGTCCGTAGCCCTGATGACCACTACAAAGTCCCTATTTCGCTGACCAGTGAGAGACTGGGCCACACTGATCCACCCTGTGGTGGCATCCACAGTGAAGAAACTTGTCCCATTGTAGCCAGGAAGTGACTGGTACCCAACCTCTGCATTAACACCATAGTCCAGGCTGTCACTGGGAAAAGAGAAGATTGTCGTTATGCAGCAGTAGCAGAAAAATTGAGCACAACAAATCCACAATTTTATTTTAACAATTTTGACATTGTTCTAATGAATTACTTGATAATTTGTAATGAGTGTGCAATCTGTCTCTGGCAACCATCTGCTGACCAGGTAGCATTTCAATTTTAGTATTTCAAAGGACAGCCACTTTTTTATACATCTTAAAAAACATTACTAAAAGTTTTACCCAAAATTACCCAAATCCCACTTTGTATACTTACACTGCCTCTGTCCTGACCACCCTGGTCCCCATTGAGGTATTATCTGGCACTGGGGTGAAATAACTGGTCTTATTGAACACAGGAGCATTGTTGTTAGCATCCTCTATGTTAACAGTGACCACCACCTCTGTGGATCTTCTTGGCACACCTTGATCACTCGCCACCACAATCAGCTGGTGTCGATTGGAGGCAAGGGAGGCAGGATCAAAGGTCAATGGTTGCTTGGAGAAGATGGAACCACTGTCTGCGTTGATGTCAAAGAATTCAGAGATCTGTTTCAAGGAGTACTGCACCATGGAGTTGGGTCCGGTTTCATCACGATCCGTTGCAGTCACAGTCCCAACAGGGCTGCCCTGTCTCTGCAACTCCTTGAAATTAAATGAGTAGGGCGTATTTGAAAACTGCGGAGCATTGTCATTCTGGTCTTCTATGGTGATGGAGACCCTGGTTGTTATCCTCCATGAGCCGTCCAATGCCTGTACAGTCAATGTATATTGGTCTTTAGTCTCACGATCAAGAGATCCAGCCACTGTCACATTCCCACTTGTTTCATCTATGGCGAATTTGTTGTCAGGGTTTACTATTAGAGAATAACGAGCGATGGCGTTGGCTCCAATGTCAAGGTCGGAGGATGTTATTCTCATCACGAAGGCACCCACATTTGCATTCTCTTGAATGGTTCCTCTGAAGATCTTGGTGAACTGAGGTGGATTGTCGTTCTTGTCAGCTACTGTGACATCCACAGTGGTCTGAGCTGTTCTTGGTGGTGTACCCTAAAAAACAGAAATACAGTATTTTTAAAATGTTGCCTTAATTGACGTTCTTTATCTCATTATTCTTAAAAAACCTATGAAATAAAACAAGTATTATCCAGTAATGCATAACGGCATACCTGGGCAATTTTAAACTTGTGTACAGATTTTAAATTGAAACCATATTTTGATTAAATATTTTTTACTCTTTGAAAATGGATATTAAAGATACTATACTGACCTGATCAGCGGCCTGGATGACCAGCACATAATGATCCACCTGCTCACGATCCAGACTGTCCACAGTGGAAAGACGTCCATTAGTAGGATTAATACTAAATATGTTGCCGACATTGCCAGACACTATGGAGTAGGTGACCTGACCATTGGGTCCCGAATCAGCATCCGTGGCCGAGAGTGAATCCAGCACAACTTCTCCTCCCTGTGGATTGGACTCGAGAATACTGACATTGTACACAAATCTCTCGAAGACAGGGCTGTTATCATTGACATCAGTCACCGTTATACTGAGCTTGATGTATGAAGATAAGGGTGGTTGGGAGCCATCCCGAGCTTCAATCCATAGCGAATACCCAGTCACTGCTTCGTAATCTAGAGGTCTCATCAGAGTGACGTTACCCAGAGTTTGGCCTACAGCAAAAGTCTTCCTGATATTCCCAGCTGCGATGTGGTAAGTGATACCTTGTCCCGATGGAGCGGTGGCAGAGACAGTTGTTATCGTGTTGCCTACTGGGGTGTTTTCTGATTGGCTGAACTGGCGCGCTGAGCTGCTGAATGTTGGATATTGAGAGAGCGGTGCTGACTGGAATGTTAGCTGCACTTCGGCAATATCCATCCTTGGTGGTTGACCCTGAAATAGAACAAAAGACTCCTTGTTGAACATGTTGATTATATTGGGGTTGGTGTAAATGCACATGAAACGGACACAAGAAAAATTAAATGCAAAGACAACAGTTATTAAAAATAAAAGTTAACTGTAATATGTGTATGTATATGTTTAATATCTTTTCAAGATAAACACAAAATATGAAACTCACCAAACTACTATTTACAAAGACTTAAATGATCGCAAACAGTAAATATGAAGTATTACTAAAAATCTTACAGCCTTAAAACATTGATACCTTTCTAGTTATTACAAAACAAATCACCGAAATCTTCCAGTAAAACTTAAAATGATGATAATAATCTAAAATCAAGATCTTCAGTAAAATAAATCTACCTGGTCAGAAGCAATTACACTAAATCTTAATCCTCGTGGAAATGAAGATGCCATTAATCCGTCTTTGGTGGTCAACACGCCAGTCTGTGGATTTATGTTGAAGTAGAGAGTATCTGGGTCATCTGACAAAGAGTAAACTATCTGCCCATTGGATCCAACATCTTTGTCAATGGCCGTCACGCCAGCGACGAAGTCAGCTGGAAGAATGTCTGTTTTGATTAGTTATATACGGATATATTTTGGATCATCATATCATGTGACGTTTTAAAAACAAAAAAATTTTCAATAAAAAACTAACCCCAAATATGATATGACATGAACTTCAGGTATCATTTATATCATAATTTTCAAGGTTAATCAACACAGCAATTCTTATAAGAATTAGATTTCAGTAAACACCTAGGCGTTTGTGTATGTGTTTTCACTTGCATGTGTGTAAAGTAAATATCTACCTGATGTGGTTGGGTCCCGTATGTAGTAACTGAACAGGTCTTTCTCAAACTGTGGGGCATTGTCGTTCACGTCTGTCACCTGCACCGACACCGTGGCAGTGCTGGACCTGGGAACAATACCACCATCTGTTGCCACGACAACCAAGGTGTATGCCTCCTGCTCTTCTCTGTCCAGTGTTTCCATGGTAACAATTTGCCCAGATACGGGATGGATGGTGAAAGGATTTCCAGGAAAGCTTTGTATGCGATACCTGCAATATAGAATAGCATACATTGCACACACAGAGACCTTAGAGATAAGTAAACACTGTTCAGCTAAATATGAACTAACAGGCCTTGTTTCACTCCACCTGAAGTTTTAATCATGATAGCTTAATCTAAAATTTTCTCAAAAACTGAATTCACTCAACATCTGAGATGTGTGCCAAAACAAGGTGATCTGTTCACTTTGAGGATCAGCTTTTCTTCAATAACTTTCATCAAAGTAAAAATTCACCCTCAACAATAATTTTCCCCAACTTACGTTATAGCAGCATTATTCCCAATGTCGTAATCCACAGCATACACCTGTTCTACTGGTGTGTTAGGAGGTAGATTCTCCCGTATGCTCACTGCATAGTGTGTGCGCACAAAGGTGGGCGTGTGGTCGTTCACGTCCTGAACAATTACTGTGATCTTGCCAGTGCCTGTCAGCTGAGGAGAGCCTGGAAATAAAGAGATTGTAGCTCTATTTAGCTAAATGAACCAAAGCCTGAAGTGATGTTTTTATTTGTCTAAATTCTTACTTTTTACAGCAAAACGTGGCAAACCTTTTTAACTTACTTCTTAATTTGTTCTCTTTACTTTAACCATACGTTAAAAATCCAAAACAGGTTTTTTACTCTATCTGTTCTATTAACAAAGCTTTTGAAGGTAAATGTACACACACAAACATTCACAACCATGCCCACTCCTGAAATCTTGAACAGAAGTAAAAGCGATTTCCAACATCTTGTATATAAGTAAAAAAAGATAATTTATGTTAAGTGCAACAATATAATAACTGACTAATCACTATTTAACATCTAGCTGAAGGAATAAATTGAAATATGCTAAAAGAGAAGAAACAGACGGTTCCGCTACCAGGAACGAAACTTTTTTTCAGCCCAGTGCTAAAATTGGCATTAAAAGGCACTAACACTACAAGCTTACAATAAATCATAAACATCATGCACACCCATCAATCAATTCCAAACATTTACTCTCAAATCGTACTTTGCCTTCATCTAGCCAGGACATTTTTCAGCTCTGCAGCTCAAAAAACGTAAAACCAGAGGCAAAAAATTCCAACAGACAACTGGCAGATTTTATTGCACTACAGAAAGGACATATTGTTACAAATAACAGTTATTTCATTACAGCTGATGTCCCTGGCCCAGACGCTAATAGCTGTTCATGTAGGCAACATTCAGTATTATTTTCCCACTGTAGCCGACAGCTTGGGAAAAGAAAAACATGGAAGAACTTCAAAAACCAAATTCCAACTGTTTCAAACATTTCTCTGGTTTTGAAATATCAAAATGAACATGTCATAGGACAATTCTGTGCAAGCCTGTATCATGTAAACTTTAGGACAAAGAATTCATGGATTGCAAGGCTCCAAACAAACCAATTCCAAACGCCTAGCGTCCTTGATGAGTGGGCTTCCTGAACTTCTTGAGGTGCCGAGACAAATAAATGTTCTTCAAGAAAAATAATACCCTAGAAACAGAGGTAAACAAAAATGCTGTTGTGAGGGCAACAAATTCCATTTCTAGGCAACAAGAGGGAAAATATTTACATTTGGTTAGTCGACTGTGGCCCTGTCACAAACAAGCCTGGAACTATGATATGCCCCTAATGGGAACAAAGTCGTGTTCTGGAATGTTTACACAGGCAAACTAGGTTGTTTCAGGGGAAAGCCAGGACTGAGACAAATGACACCTCTAAATTTAAAGGACAAGCTGACTGCATTATGTCATGCATAGCGTTTGCCTTGAGACAAAGCACAAACACCTGATTAAAATGCTCATCCATGGAGTCAAGCTGGTTTCGCACCAGGTTCACATTGCAGACAATCCAGATTTTACCTCATGTAAACTTTGCCTCATTTCTTGAGAATGGGAACAAAGTCATGTTACAGCAGCAATCCCCTCAACCATAAAACAATATTAGCCGTGTGATATATATGTGAGAGGACTTAAAACAAAATAATATCCCAAGTCTACTGCTTTTACCCAAAATCTGGTTTAAAAATGTGAAGGTTAGAGCTATCAATCAAAAGGAAACCTGTGCTAAATGTGTTCTATGTGTTCTAAGTGTTGAAAGAAAAGTCCCCTTTTGGCTGTTTTTGTGGCATTTAAGTCAATCCCATTGCTGTTTAACTGGACTTGCTAACAAAATGTACAATTTATTCTGTGTATTACCAATTGGACAACTCAATGCAAAAAAACTGGCAGCTTTTTTTTTCTTTCTAAGTAAAAATCACCATTTGTCACTGCTGACTTGTGCAAATTCCAAAGGCTATACTTAAAGCTATACGCTGTCCTGACTTGGAAGGGCAAGTTCCAACTGTTTCAGCATATACAGTAATCTGTGGAAACTGTCATGTGTTGTGGGGTGGATAGGCTGCCAATTACTCAAAACCTAAGTGATGTTGAAGCTTTGGGGGAGCATTCCTTCACTGACAGATAGTCATGAGAAGAAATGAAATGATAATATGAGAAGAATGAAAACTTAACCATATCTCATTTCACCATTAAACCCTCTATAACACAATTTACTCAGGTCTCTCTCTCTCTCTCTCTCACTCTCTCTTTCTCTCTAAGATGTATAAGCCTGTTGTTAAATAATAAAATAATAACAGCCTACCTGAGTCATAAGCTGTAATAACCAGCTCATACTGGTCCCTGGTCTCTCTGTCCAATGTCCTGGTGGCAGTGACCAGTCCAGTCTGAGTGTCCAGCCTGAAGATATCTCCCACCCCTTGAAGTAACCTGTAGGTAACCTGGTTGTTTGGTGGGGAATCTGCATCGTAGGCTTCAACCTTGCAGACAAAGACGGGAAGATCTGAGGCGGGAACACCTTCCTGAACGTATGCTATGTATGGGGAGTCGCGGAATGTTGGGGTGTTGTCGTTAACATCTGTGACCTCGATGGTGACAGTTGCCGTGTCATAGCGTGGCTCTATTCCGCCATCTTCTGCCCTGATCTGAAGAGTGTACGACCTGACACGTTCATAGTTGAGTTTCTTCTGAACGCTAAGTTCCCCAGTATGAGAGTCCATCTTAAAGTCGCCATTACTATCTCCACTAAAGATGAAGTATCTCGTTTCTCCATTCAGCCCAGCATCACGATCAGTCGCACTGACTTGCTTCAACAGAGTACCAATGGCGGCATTCTCGGAAACAGTTGCTTGATACTCTTGTGGATCAAACACAGGATTGTTATCGTTCTTGTCACGGATGTGCACGGTGATGGTCTGGTGTGATGACCGCGGGGGCTGACCTTTGTCCGTAGCTGTGATGTCCAGTATATAAGTATCCTTAGTTTCTCTGTCCAGGTTCCCACTGACCTTCAACAAACCATCACCAGGACCCAGGGAGAACATGTTACTGGTGAGATGGTAGGCGACATAGCTGTTGCGTTCTGCGTCAGGATCCAGGGCGGTGACTTTCATGATGGTGGTGCCCACTGGCATGTTCTCTGATACCCAGGTCTCATTGCGAGTAGTGAATACAGGAGCATTGTCGTTGACGTCTTTGAGGATGACACTCACCTGAAATGATTGTAAAATGTAGATTTTTTATTTAGTTACCTTTTTTAGCAAAAGAATTATCACAGGCCTTATAGTCTAAAAGTTTGTTTCCAAATCTCAGCTTAGATATCACATTTTGTATCAATAACAAAAACTGCTTTTTATCCAAATGTCTATCTTTTCATGAAAAAAAAGGGGGGGGGGGATAACATTAACAAGACAATGGGTCTATCTTTTTACTGGAAATAAAGGATCACCATCCTTACTTGTGTTGTCCCTTGAAGTCTATTATTGGGATATTCTGCCATATCAGAAGCCTCAACAGTTAGGGTGTAGAAAGGCATAGTCTCCCTGTCCAATGGCAAGCTAGAATAGATGGTTCCATTTTTGGGGTCGATCCTGAACTGTCCAATGGGGTCTCCCGAGACAATGGAGTAGACAATTTCACCATTTGTTCCTGAAATTGAATTGGAAAATACTTAAAGGGATAATAACTCTTCATATGAGATCTATATTTCACAATAAAAACATAGTGAATAACTCATAGAAATATAATATATTCTGTTTTACCACCAAAAACGGCAGTTATAGCTATTATTCTGATATCTGAGTTTGTCTTCAGATCACGTGACCTCCATTGATGGCTGTAGTCAGTTATAATCTCTTAAGAGATTTTAACAAAAAACCAAACTTTTTAGAAAAAAACCAGGGACTAACTTTGAATGTAAAAATGGATTCATTTACCATTGGTAAGTATGAGAAAATTTTTGTTAACTCCAGGAAAATTCATTTTTTTGCCAAAACGAAGAGTTATTATCACTTTAATATATTCACAGAGCCAAAAACATAAGGGAATGGTCAAAAAATATTATATTGCTTTGTGCAAGCAGTCGCGTATTGACTCAAATTTTTTTGTTTTTGATTTGGGTTAATTACTTGTTTTGTAACTCTATGTTAAATATCAGGTAAAACATGGTGTATGCTGGCTTTGACTTTCTTTTACTAAAAAATGTAACAAATGGGAGCTCAGAAATTTTTTTCGATCTTGATTATGTACGTTCAGGTAGGTCTTTACCAGACAGATTAAGAGGAAAGCTGGTGGATTTGGGTGGCCTGTTACTCCTAATCCGTTACTACATAAACCAAGACAAAAAATGTCCATCTAAAACTGATACACAACATCAATCTCTGTCAACTAGGATCTTCCACCTGAGTTTATCTCTGGTAAACATCGCAGCAAAAATGTGGCTAAGGTTATAAATTCCCTCAATCCTGCTAACCAAAGTTAACCGTTAACAAACATGGCTGCCTCATTCCAATTGTTTTACAGTAAGTTTGCATGATAAATAATGATTTATTAAGTTCCAACCGGCAAATCGAAAAAAAAAAAGGAAAAAAAAAGAAAAAAAATTTAATCTGTAACTCCCTCAAAAAACTTCTTTGAAGTAAATTCAATCAGGCGCCTGCTAATCTTTTCCCTGATACCAGTCCCCCTATCACAAGTAAACACATCAATACGGTTGACAAATAGGGTATTAAAATGTACTGCTTGCTGAATAACTAGAATGCTATGCCTCTGCAGTATCTAATAGCATTTTTTCCTCTTGATCAGGCAGGCAATCTACTTGGATTATCCCCACACATAGATCTTAAGTTATGTTCCCAATTCTCCACTACAATTTACTGGTCACATTCCTGTTTGGGAAGTAATCTCATTTCAAAATATACATAGATGGCTTAACTCCCCTTCATCTTTAGAAAATAATCTCAACGAGCATTTTAGAGCTTTGATTAATACTTTATAGACTTGATCCTTGAATGGTTTGAGTTAAGGTTTTCTAAATGCTCTTTTTTTCCCAAGTTTGGATACATACAAGTGCAAACTTCATTTTGACAATAGATTTATTTTTTCAATTATATTGACTTGTTGACCTAATTTGTCCAAAATGATTAGTTTCTACTCATCTGAAACATTCTTTCTTATTTATTGACCCCCCTCGAGGGCAATTGATTCCCATTTTTATTTCCTTGCTATGTACATGTTTGTGCCACATTGATCCTGTTGGGGAAACGATTGATTAGTTTTTGGTACAAACATTTTTGGGTCACACTGCTGATAAAAAGTTCTGTCAACCGTACACCTACTTAACAGGAATCTGTTTGATCTTCACCTTGCTACTCTTAGTGATAGTAGCCTAGGTAAAGACATGTATACAGCGAGTACTTTAAGAAGATCATAACTACCAGCTTCCTTCTCTCTCTCTTTCATTTGTCTCAAATCATTACCTCTCAAAAATAATGATTGTGGCACAATGCGTTTGATTTTCCCCCTAATTAACAAATGAAAATCCACTAATGATTTGACAATCTTCCTCACTTATTAAGTATACTTATGATAATCCCCTATCTTAATCCATATGACTTATATCTAAATGAAATATAATTACCATGTGATGCTTGTAAGTGTAACACATTAACGATTATTGATGAAAATCCTAATCCCTCTTCAAGTGACCAAATATTATTGCTTTTTCCTTCATAAACATCGAACAGGGGCCACACATGACCTTAGTTCTAAAATACACCCTGATATTTTCATTCCTTACTCTGGTACCTTTCCCAATGTTTACAAAACACATCAGAGTAAACAACAAGGTGATGTTTTCACAACAACTAAATGTTAATATCCCTGCCTCTGAGATTGAGAGTACCCAGAATTACAGAGAGTTAGATGGCAACTTTTTAAGTCTTCATGTAGAACTCTACAGGCCTATTCAGAACTGCACTTAATTCCACTAGGAAGAAATTAACTATATGTCCTAAGAAACCAGATTGCTTTGACTCGAGTTTTTTTTTCCATTTTAGGTGCTCTTTGGTCCCATCAGCTGGGGACTGTTTTACAAAATGATTAAAGTCCATAGTCAGCCTTAGCAAAGAGGCTAAGAATCTAAGTTGACTAAGTTGCATTTCATATAGATATCTACAGGACAACTTATCTCATTATTCAGACTTAAAACCAAGTCATCACACCAAATACTTCTGTCATGGCACTAATTCTAACTCACAGAGGTGGCAATAACTTTTTTGAGGTATTTCTAGTTATCTGTTGTGGCACAACAGGTTTACATGTTATTAGACTAATAGTGAAGAAACACGGACTTAACTTGGCATACATTCCAAGTTTGGCACTCCAAGCATAAGCCAAAAATCCAAGTCTATATATGAAACTGCCTCTTTAAGCCTCAAAACTTTGGGTGGTCAGAGCCAGAGAGCAGCTGGCATACTGCAGTATGCAGTGATCAGATATGCTGTGGTTTTATACTGCTGACCTACCACAGGCAATACTGACATTTTATGACATTTTTCCTGTGAACATCCAGTGCACTTCACCCCTCACAAACACATTAAAACAAGATGGATGAAGTTGATTTAGGAGGCCAAAGATAAAGGTGTCCTGTAGAAAATCTTTTTTTATGACAGATTTGACACATCAGCAGATCCATTCTATAGAATGAAATTTCAATTCCAAGAACATCAATCTTCTACACCCTTTTTATTTTTTTCTTTAATATTTTTACATCTACTATCCCTGATGAGATCACCAGCCAAACTAGCACCTCTACAAGTTATTCATGTCAACTATACCACCATATTACCACGTATGCCTTCTTCATAGGCTTATACTTGACTAATGCAGTTGTAGTTATAAGTCTGCAGCATTTTTTTAAAAATAATTTTTATCCAATGAGTACAAAGTTAAACTAAAATAAATCTTTCTCAAGATTCACAAAAAAAAAAAAAAAAAAAAAAAAAAAAAAAAAAAAAAAAAAACTGCCCAACCCTCACCTGTGTCTGTGTCTGAGGCACTGACAGTGACTATACTGGTGCCAACTGTGACATTCTCAAACACCTCCACACTGTAGGTAGAGGGGTCGAAGACTGGAGCGTTGTCATTGGTGTCCTTTACATTCATGTAGACCACGGCACTGGATGAGAGGTTGGCAAAGACGCCGGCATCTTCAGCGAACACAGTTAAGGTGTATATCTGAGTCTGTGAAATAATGGAAATATACATGTATTATATTTCATATACAATAAAATATAGAAAAATTTAACAACTCCATGTAAGAGGAATCGCTCAGTTTAATTTAGATCCGAGTTGAATATTTATTATTGCATATTCAACAAAGGCAGACAAAAGACTGTCAGTTGGCAAAATAGACAGTAAAAATGTACACTTATTTTCAACCAAGATTCGTATGTCATCCCAGTCCTGATTTTACCTTTTAGTGGGGCATAATTGATGGTTTTAAATAAGACTAAAAGGTAAAAGCTGTAAGTGTCAATCATGTCACCTGATATAAAACACCGTTTAAAAGATCTAAATCTTTTAATAGCCATAAAAAGCAGAGCAATTTTACTTTGCATAAATTACTGTTGTTTTAAAGACTGAAAAAATATCATTTCCAATGGGCGTGTGGCAGATTCTTTTGCAAAAAGTCTTTTTTTGTCTTATAACATACATTCTAATAAAAGTTTTTTGTATTCTTGTTTTTCCGAGCCAAAAATGTCCTGACTCAGTTCTGACTAATTTATAAACATTCCATCACTACACATGCTCTGGAAACAAAATATTTCTCTTCCAAAAGCTATTCAAAATGGGTCAAATGTATCACTCTGTATAAGCCTAATCTTTTTTTTCCACCAGTAGCCTGTAATTCATGTGCCAAGATTTACTTAACAAACAAATCAGCTGCATGGTGCCAGGAACAAAAGAGCTGAGGGGGCCCCAGAGCTTAGAATCAACATAAATATAGAAAATTATGATTTTTTATTGTGCTGCTCATTGTCGAATTCTCTAAGCTAACCAGCTATATTAGTGTACTATTTGGAAAGGGTCAGGTGGGCAACATTAAATTGCAACTTTATTTTGGAATTTTTCACAGCAACAACACCGGAGAAAAATCTTGTCAGAAGATCACTATTCATGATAATTGGAGAGTAATAAAATAATGAAATAAAATTGGAAAGTAAGAAGGGAGGACAAGGGCACGGAGATTGATTTGGGTCTGTACATCAAGCCATCTTTCACATTTGGCTACATGCAAACAACAAGGAAAAAAACAAAGTTTTAGACAAAAATAAGCTCATGCTTTTTCCCTTTTCCTTCCAGTATTTTTTCTCTTTTTCTTCTTTTTGTTAAATACACCACAGGCCTCGTCAAGGCTATGCCCTCTGTCATTGCGCCAATTGTCTCAGTGTCTTCTGGGTGACTTAACTTGGTACACACCGCCGTGTCCCCGTAAAAAGTTCACCAAGAACTCTACCTCCTTCCTTCAGTAAAAATACTCAGGTACAATAATCGATAATGTGACCAGCCCTCTGGTCAACGTTTCTTTTTCACCCTTTCAAGACACCTGACTTTTTGATTCTGAGGTGAGATTCTCAACTCATGGGTGCACTCATGCATGCTTGCTGTGACTGGTTTTTACCTTCAAGGTGAAATATTAGTCGCGTGCACCCAGGCATGGTGATGCATGAATTCAAGTCGAGTCAGTCTGGCCGAAAAATGAATGGAAATGAGTCGAGTCGTTTGCAAAAGAAATGAGGACAAATTTGAAATAAACCGAAATTCTGAGTGTAAAGTTAAACCCAAGGCAAGTGAATGGGTAATTTATGCTAACACGGGGCTGTGCCTTAGAAAGAAAAAAGAAAAGAAAGAAATCCTTGTGTCCAATACCATACAAATCATGAAACTTGTATAGAATTTACCACTAAAATAACAGTGTAGTGTTGGAACAGGAGAAATGACATTTTGACATAACATTTGAAATGACACTTTTGTTGAAAGAATAATTATTTCATATTCAACACAACCAAAAAATGAAATAAAGGACAATTACAAAGACTTGATGATAAAGCAAAACAAAATCAAGCAAAAAGTAAATGAACAAAATTTACTTAATTTTTTAAACTAATACCAAACATTCCACTGAGATATGACAGGAGTTTTAGTTATCAAATATGAATTATGTATCTCCAAAAGTTTTGACCCAAATACTAGTACATGCCTCTCATGATGTTCATACTTTAACCCACAGACACTTCAGTATCATGACAGACAGAGAGCAAAAACAATATGATAAACACTTCAATAATTATAATACTTTCCCAGACAGTACAAAAATGTTAATAATCTTTCCATAACCTTTGTTGGGAGAGGCCAACAGATATATTTGACCTCCTTGACATAGAAATGAAAGTGGAGCATGTAAGATAAAGGTAATTTGCTGAGGTCAGCAATTATCTTGTAAGAATAAACTTCACTATTTCTCTTATGTGAAATGATTAGTAAAATTTGTGATGACAAAAGATATATACCTTTGATTTGCAGTTTTTAATAATATTAAAATATTTTATCTCAATTTCATTTAACTTTATGTTTTTCTTCAATCTAAATAAGTTTCAAACAAACACATTCAAGACAAAAAACATATATACATAATTGTCATGACAGTTGCTTTATAAAAATGTTCTTAGTTAGTTCTTACTAGTATTCAGAAGTAACTCATATTACACCAAAGACATGTAATCATAAAACAGATCAAGAATATATATATTTGAAAAACTCATAAAATCAAAATTTCATAATTTAGTGAAAAAAAATGTTCTATTTTTCTTGACTAAATTATAAAATACTCACCGTCTCAAAGTCCAGAGGCTGCTGCAACGTGAATACACCCAGGCGTCTATCCAGAGCAAAGACGGAACTTCCCCAGTTGTCAGCTTGCAGGTAGTAAGCTATTTCTCCATTCAGTCCCATGTCAGCATCTGTGGCTGTTATCCGAGCCACGGTGGAACTCACCAAGGCATCTTCTCGAATATCAAAGGAGTAGACGCTCTGGGTGAAACGTGGCGGATTGTCGTTGACATCGGTCACTGTCACCATGACAGTGGTCGATGAAGTCTGAGCACCATCGCTGGCCTCGACTGTGAGGGAATAAGATGGCGTTGTCTCTCGATCTAGTGCCACGCGTGTCGTCAGAACTCCTACAATTAGAATGAGCAAAGAAATCCCAAAGTTAGCCACGGGCATTTTCAGAGGGATGAACAAATATTGTCAAAAACCTGTTATATACTGTTTCGATATTCTGCGGTCATTCTTGTCCTACAGATGCTCAGTGGAAGAGTATACATGATACACTTGCATTGTATCCAGCATATGCATATTACAGCTCCATATGACTGTCTGTGATTCTATGGTCTCAACATCATATAAAAAGTCCTATCCTTGTCACAATATTACAACCTGTAGGTCTACATCACTGTAGCAATATGCTTATCACAGTACACAAGACTTTTACGACTCTTCCCTTCCAGCAGAAGAGAAATAAAAAACTGCACCATAGAGGGAAGTGGTCCGTATGTAACACCTAAGCAACACCTCGGGCTATTGCCAAGGAAAAAATGCTCATTTATAATGCAGGTTTTAACTAGCTGTTATCAGGGAATGTCTTGTTAATGTGGGTTTTATACATTTCTGTTCCCACCATGCAAACACTATTTCAAGTATAGTTACAGTAGATTCTCGTGAAGTGTATCAAAATCGTTAATTCAAAATCTAATCCTCAAATGTATGCTTTACCTTCTCCCTTCCCCCCCCCCCCAACCAACCCCATTCAAGCTAATAAGTCAATCAGTCACAATTAAAAAGGGAAATTTTAAACTGTGACTGTAAGCTTGGAAAACATTCAAAGTTGTGAGCTTACCAAGGCATTCAAATAATGAAGATAATTTGCTCTTTAATGGTTACTTAAATTCTCATTATGCATTACTTCTGTATCAAAGAGAGTCAATTAGATTAAAGCTGCTTTTATACACACAGACTGGAATGATTGAAAGAACAGACTAAAGCCAGTATAAAACTATTACAGTGTATTTTATAAAACATGCACATGCAAAAATTAATCTAATTACATCAATTATTGTAAGCCACTGTGATACAAGTTCAACTGACTATTCTTAACACGTTAGAAAGACTTTTAAAATGTTTATTCTCTAAATATCCATTGAACAAGTAAATTCCCTTTTTTTTCTTTTTCAGTTATATGTTCCCCAACAATACTGCCAGACCACATGCCTAAACCATTTAATCTCCCGAGGTGAGATATCTGTAAAGCACAAAGTGGGACCTCTCAACCTTTCATGCAATACTTGTCAGGAAATGAAGAAATATACTTTTTGTTACAAACACTTCCAAGGCCAGTTGCTTGGTCTATTAACTCGATTAAGTTGAAAAAAAATCATGTTATTTGAAACTCTTGGAATTCTAGGCACATTATAGTGCATTAAAATTAATCAGGCCTGGGGTATCAAGGGGACAAATATAATGACCTTGAAATATAATTAAACACAGCTATATTTTCACATATATTTTTTCTGTCTGCCACAATCATCTGAAAGCATCAGATGAGAACAATTCCACTTCCAATGTATTCTACATGATGACACATAAAAGAGCAGCACGTACGTGAGCAGACAGAATTAAATGCCTGTTTGGATTAATAAAAAAAAAAAATAAAGAAACCATTACATGTCCCCTGCTAAGTCCCACTTTGTTCAACTATTTCTCAATAATTCTAAGTCTCAAAGCGATGGCAGTGAAAAAAGGGGATAAAAAAGAACGAAAAAATTCAGGTGGGGATTGCATCTCACAGGGGAACATATCACAGCACAGGATTCTTGGTATCATGTTTTTAAAGCTGTTACTAGTTGTACAGAATCTAGTCCAAGGTAACCACACTTTGTTATAGCATACATTTACAAGGCTAATACTTTCAGAATAATACAAGACTTACTATAATTCGCTGACAATAAGGTGAAAAGAAAGAAATCCCATATTTCTCTATTCTATAGTCAAAAACATTCTTTACAATCAAAATTATACTTGGTGGTATGAGAAAATGTGAGGAAAATTGACCCTACAAAAGAAAAAATGTCTAATTGATTAAAAGCATAGTTTCATTGTTTTTCAGAAGTTTGTCCATCAGACTGTGAAGCTTAAGAGTACATGTCAGTATTCCAGACGTGCAGAGACTGTGTGTGCCCGCTCCCACGTACAAGGAAAGCTGAGAGCCCAAAACTGCAGAATTTTGACAGCCCATCCATCAATTTTGTTACTGGATCATTAGATCATAAATTTGACTCTTGGCTCCTTAAATAAAGATGTATCTTATACTACAGATATCATTATTACACACTCATTATTCTGATAATCTTAATCTCAGGACACAAACGCTTGAACTTTTTTTTTCACTATTTAACATCACAAACAGTTAACTGTTAAAGTACCATCTAAAGTCATGTAAATATCCAAACCTGTGTAAAAATAGTTTTGTCATTCCCTTCTTCTTTCCAATATTAAGAAATAAAACAAATAAAATTTGCATTATTTGGTGTACCCCTGTTGCCTGACTCAACCCCCTCTCACCATCCCCTTTTCAGAGAAAAGTGGAGTTATATAAAATCCTGTAAAGTACTGCAATCTTTACGACAACAGCATGCTCCTTTTAGGACAGATCTCTGTCCATCTCTTCCAATCACTTAAAAAAAAAGAAAGAAAAAAAAACCACCCACCTGTATTTCCGTTCACTTGGAACACACTCAGGTCTCCGCTGGAGATACGGTAGGTCACTGTCCCTTCACTGTCCACATCTTGAGCCACAAGACTAGCCACCACGTAGCCAGGCTGGACATCTTCAGGGACGTCCACTTCATATAGAGATGACCCAAAGGAGGGAGGGGTGTCATTCTGGTCTAGTAAGGTGATAGAGACCTGGAAAGAATGGAGGAGAAAAAAGATTAAGTCTGATGTAAGAAAAACACTCAATCTTGATCATAGGTATGAAGAAGTATTGTTTTTTTTATTATTATTATATCTACATCTTTATTGAAAATATATGTAATCTGCATGGTCACAGATAAGACAAGCTTAGTCATGCAAGTTTTTTTTTTTTTCTTTAGGATGTATAAGATATCAATGTCCTAGTAGACGATTGACCTCTTGGTGTCTCATTGCAAACTTCTGACAACCCTGATTTGAAAATGTGATGGCTGCACCTGTTCACCCGGTGTAAACTTTCCTTTCAACTGCACCTAATTTACCCCACAAGTTTCGTCAACTTTGGGAATACTTGCGGGTAGCTGAAAAGCCTCTTTTCGAGGATCTATTCTCACATTGTCAGCTGAAGGAAGTGACACAAAGATTAGGGGCTGTAATTCGGAGGAGAATACGAAGTGGATGCTTCAAGTGGGTTAAGCTCAACCACGGCCTGGGATGTGACAAAAGCTTCGGATTATGTAACGAAATACTGAGGTTCTGGTGAAAGGCTTTTGAATCTTGAATCACATTCACTGGTCTGTGACCAGAAGGACATTCGCGTAGATCACCATTCCACGATTCTCTGTTTAGACAGGACCAATCCGATGCAAAAAATCACATGCAGCAAAAGAGATGTTGATTACATTTTGTAATGGGGTAACAGCATGTGGCCATGTAATCAACACGACTTAACAAAATTAACTTTTGTATCCATTCTAGATAAAAAGTGTGCAAAAATGAAAGACCAATTTGGATGTTTGTTTACTTTCTTCTTTTTTCAAGTGAAATTAGTGCAGAACTGACGTTGTTTCGATGAACAGGTTTTCAAGTACAGCTGCAAGAAAAAATCCCAATGTCAGTCATTATCCCACCTCTGTCATTTAATAATAAGGCTCTTATATTGAAGACTGTCACAATAATACATCCAATAACAAGGATGAGTGAAGACAAAATTGCTTCATGTATGTCTCACAAATCACTGAGCCATACATCCTCTGTGACTAAGAATTCTCATTTTCTCCTTATCTCTCAAACTTTTATTCACCCATCAATAAAGAGAAAAATACTTAAAATGTCCTTGACTTGCCNTAAATAAAGATGTATCTTATACTACAGATATCATTATTACACACTCATTATTCTGATAATCTTAATCTCAGGACACAAACGCTTGAACTTTTTTTTTCACTATTTAACATCACAAACAGTTAACTGTTAAAGTACCATCTAAAGTCATGTAAATATCCAAACCTGTGTAAAAATAGTTTTGTCATTCCCTTCTTCTTTCCAATATTAAGAAATAAAACAAATAAAATTTGCATTATTTGGTGTACCCCTGTTGCCTGACTCAACCCCCTCTCACCATCCCCTTTTCAGAGAAAAGTGGAGTTATATAAAATCCTGTAAAGTACTGCAATCTTTACGACAACAGCATGCTCCTTTTAGGACAGATCTCTGTCCATCTCTTCCAATCACTTAAAAAAAAAGAAAGAAAAAAAAACCACCCACCTGTATTTCCGTTCACTTGGAACACACTCAGGTCTCCGCTGGAGATACGGTAGGTCACTGTCCCTTCACTGTCCACATCTTGAGCCACAAGACTAGCCACCACGTAGCCAGGCTGGACATCTTCAGGGACGTCCACTTCATATAGAGATGACCCAAAGGAGGGAGGGGTGTCATTCTGGTCTAGTAAGGTGATAGAGACCTGGAAAGAATGGAGGAGAAAAAAGATTAAGTCTGATGTAAGAAAAACACTCAATCTTGATCATAGGTATGAAGAAGTATTGTTTTTTTTATTATTATTATATCTACATCTTTATTGAAAATATATGTAATCTGCATGGTCACAGATAAGACAAGCTTAGTCATGCAAGTTTTTTTTTTTTTCTTTAGGATGTATAAGATATCAATGTCCTAGTAGACGATTGACCTCTTGGTGTCTCATTGCAAACTTCTGACAACCCTGATTTGAAAATGTGATGGCTGCACCTGTTCACCCGGTGTAAACTTTCCTTTCAACTGCACCTAATTTACCCCACAAGTTTCGTCAACTTTGGGAATACTTGCGGGTAGCTGAAAAGCCTCTTTTCGAGGATCTATTCTCACATTGTCAGCTGAAGGAAGTGACACAAAGATTAGGGGCTGTAATTCGGAGGAGAATACGAAGTGGATGCTTCAAGTGGGTTAAGCTCAACCACGGCCTGGGATGTGACAAAAGCTTCGGATTATGTAACGAAATACTGAGGTTCTGGTGAAAGGCTTTTGAATCTTGAATCACATTCACTGGTCTGTGACCAGAAGGACATTCGCGTAGATCACCATTCCACGATTCTCTGTTTAGACAGGACCAATCCGATGCAAAAAATCACATGCAGCAAAAGAGATGTTGATTACATTTTGTAATGGGGTAACAGCATGTGGCCATGTAATCAACACGACTTAACAAAATTAACTTTTGTATCCATTCTAGATAAAAAGTGTGCAAAAATGAAAGACCAATTTGGATGTTTGTTTACTTTCTTCTTTTTTCAAGTGAAATTAGTGCAGAACTGACGTTGTTTCGATGAACAGGTTTTCAAGTACAGCTGCAAGAAAAAATCCCAATGTCAGTCATTATCCCACCTCTGTCATTTAATAATAAGGCTCTTATATTGAAGACTGTCACAATAATACATCCAATAACAAGGATGAGTGAAGACAAAATTGCTTCATGTATGTCTCACAAATCACTGAGCCATACATCCTCTGTGACTAAGAATTCTCATTTTCTCCTTATCTCTCAAACTTTTATTCACCCATCAATAAAGAGAAAAATACTTAAAATGTCCTAGACTTGCCTAAACCCTCTCCTATTTTCTTTTCCCGTTAATCATAAAAGATGAAGAGCACTACAAAAAAGTTATTTATCACAAGAATTCCTTCATTTTCAATCGTTTCTATGTTACAAATCACTGCATGCACAAATATATGTATAATTCACCATAATTATCTTGATTCATTGCTTTTTTTTCCCCTACCATCTCAAAAGAAAAAAAAACTGAGTTTCATGTTCCATATTTCCACTCCCACTTGAAAAGCTCAATAGCATTAAAGTGCCAGGTAGTGTAAAAGTTTGAAAAATAGTCACTGAGGGTCAAACTTGTGCTCGAGGTACATGTTAACAAGTCAAAAGCACCGTTTAACCCAGATGTACACTGTGAAAGCACCGGTTTTCCTGTCAACTCTGTCTACCTAAAAGTTCAGAGACACAATGTGTGACATGAGGATTTGTCTCACATGATGGGCCTGAAAAGATGTGCGATATTTGCATTCAGTGACACTCTCGGTTTGTATTCATATGCCATCTTGATGGTTGAAAAATTATCAAAATAACTGAAATAAATCTGTAAAAGGCTGAATAAAAACAACTATTTAGCACACTTAAAAGACTGGGATGAAAATTATCAAGACAGACTTCTTCATTTCAAATGTTATTCATCTCAGCATCAAAAATTTTTTTATTGAAGACTTATAAACAGGAAAATGTTTCACTAAATTAGAACATATTTCTCTTGCTGGTAATTGTAAAACAATATTTCATAAACAACACTAGTATTTCATTTAGTATAGTGCTTGTTTATGACTAAATAATTTTCTTCTTTGGTCATGGTTGGCAAGTTTTGAGACTTCAAAAACTTAAACATTGAGGTCATGAAGTTCAAAAGGTGAGCTCTTTGTGACATGAGTGACCACCTCGGCAGTGTAGGTCAAGTGGTCAAAATGACTGGAAAATGGCCACAAAGAGAATGTAAAACAATTTTACATGCCATCTTTCTGGTGACTGCCCCAACTGAATACAGACTAATATTTAAAATGTCATTCTTCAATTCAAATTAGGTTGTTTTTTTGTTTTTGTATATAATAAAATTAAATATCTACTTCTAGTTGAATTTTGATGTTTAATTTAGATTATTGTGTATTTTTCATATTTTTCAAAGCAATCACATTTTACAGGAATTTTTCATAATGGTACCTCATTTTTAATATGAGACAATTGCTCTTTTAATGTTATGGTATTTATGTCAATGACTGATATTCTCCATCCAAATAAGAAACATTGATCTGCCTATTTAAAAAGCCGAATTTAAAGGAAATTAAATTTTGTACAAATGCTAAATTGTACAAATCAGTTGCTTTAAGTGCCTTTAATTTTATTATTGGTCACTCAAAGTGACCCAAGTCCACTGATATAGGTCTAAGGACCAAATGAAATAGCCATCTCAGCAGCCAAAGTAACACAACACTACAGCAATGCATCCACCATCACCTCCCAATGGCAGTCTGTGTGTATACACTACCCCTACATTTAACCTATTTAATAATCCAAACAGCCGAGGCCTTATTCAAATACAAGCTGTGTGGGACATACTTCATAACAAAACACAAACTCCCATTTTGAATTCTACCATAGAAATCCATGTTATTCTTTCTTGAGATGGAAATGTAAGGTGTTTTGTGTCACACTGTATTTACACTGCATTGTACTTGAACAAGGAGACTAGCAGCACTACTCTGGGGACCCCAGCCTAATACTACACTAGTGCCCCGTAAAACGGGAGAAACTCGAGGACTTTCAATCTCTGAACATAGACAGGAATGTCTGTTTGAACTTTCACAGTTTCAACGAGTGGTTATGATCGGCTTTGTGTAACTCCGCATTCTGCCTGTTGATAATCACCCCTCCCACTTTTGAAAGGGTCCGAAATGAGGTGCAATAATGAGTCACCGCCTACAGTAAAGGTGTTGTAACTCTGATATCTCTTACCCCCTCCCCTCCCCTCCCCTCCCCTCCCCAATAAACACCCCTGAAGAACCAGTGTAGTACAACTTGCAAGTAATGAAAGTCAAACAAGTATAGAAAGGGGGACAGATTCTAACCACTGATAGCCTTTTATTCCACATCAATGAATCGACTGGACTGATCAAAGATGGCAGACAAACAATGCCCATTGAAGGCGCAGCGTAGGATACTTAAAAGCAAAAGCGATTAAGAAGGTCTTTGTACTGGCTTACCCCTTGGACATAGTGAATGCTATGATTCAATATGTATTTCTTTGTGAAGACACCTGCTATATGAATGATCTTGGACCTTGAGATGTTTCATCTTTGAAAATGAACTAATGAGAGATAATTANAAACTTTAAAAGCTCCCCAGGGGAGGAGACAGAGGACTTTAAAAAAAAGAGGAATGAGGACTGACATATAAGTGACGTTTTATACATGCCCGTATAAAACTTCCCCCGGGGGAAGGAGATAGCTAGATATCTAATAGTGCTCTTTATATGTATCATTCCAGGTGTCCATCATCAACTAGATTAGTTCAATAAAGTTGAAGATATACATATTTATCTAATAATGAAAAATAAATTGTTGACATTCCTTCCACTTTCTCAAAGACTTAAGTAAGAAGAAAGAGGGAGGAGTAGGAAATATGTGAAAATTTTAATAAAATATGGGAAAGGGGGATGGGACATCAGAATTCTCATAATTTTACAATTTGATAAATATTCCAACTGATGGTCTGTTTATTTTCACCATGTACGCACAAATGATATAAAACATACTGTGAAAAATGAGAACAGCAACTTGTCAACAATATAACATTTTCTTTCTCTTAAAAAAATCCACCTTTACTCCCCCCCCCCAAAAAAAATAATAATAATAAAGAAAAAATTAAGGTTTATACAAGTTTAATTCAACACCAATAGTTACTAAGCTTTAAAAGTACAACCAACTTAAGAGTCATGAGTTTCTTTGTGAAGCCATTCCCAGGTATAGTCATGGACCCTCCCACTGATAAGACCTGGGGGAGACAAAGGGGGGACATCCTACTTCCTTCCATTATCTTATCAACTGTAAGCATCTATACAGTCAACCTCTGATATCTTCTATCCCAAGGCAGAAACATCCTAAACTCTTTCTACATAACCCAGATAGTGCTGATTATATCAATCAGGTGGTTGAAATTTAGCACATTTTCTGTTGATGAAAGTGGGATCCAGTGGTTGAAATTTAGTATTTATATCTACAATCAATATAAAATATGCAGGTTTCTCTATTTTGATCTATGACTCAACTTGGAAGAGGTGACAATAATATTTTCATGTCTGTCTACAAAATACTGGAAATAATTCAATAAGAGCAATAAAAAATATTTGATATCCATATTGCTAAATATTTGTTAATCGGAATCAACTGCAATATCAAAGGCAGAGTCTAAGCATTTATAAATAAACCATTTTAATTTTCTTTAAAAAAAAAGGGACACAAAACAATTAGAACTCTTCCTTGCTTCCACTAACATTCAAGGTCACAATTTAAGTCAGCAGGCATGACTTTAAGGCCCATCTCCTTAATCACAAGTTAATGAGTTCCTTAAAGGTAAGAACTCTTATCTTTCCACCTTGAAAGGGACAATAAGAAAGCTGTCACTTTCAACTCCTTTCACTTGATCACAATCATTTATCTCACTAATTACTTAATTAACAGAGGAAAATTCTGAATGAGTTTTGCCTTGGTTTCATAATAGTTATACACAGGCTGGTACTGAGCTGGCATGCAGACAACTTGATCATACTTTCCTACTTTTTGAAAGAAAGCCATATCTGAGAAGCTTTATCTTCCTTATTTTATTGGTCATCAATTTGGTCACCAAACTGCCGTAAA